ACCCTAATAAAGATTTATGCACTGAGAGTGGTTCTAAAGAAACAGAATTTCAAGGACAAATTTTCTGATTTGGATCTGAGTTTTAAGATGCTAATGACTCTATTTCCAGTAGTAAAGAGAGCACTTATACACCATGGCATGAACTGAAGATACACAAAATATCTGCATTGGATATTTCTGATCAACCACTTATAAGAAGCAGCAAGAACTAGACAACTAGCAGCATTTACTGGCACATGATAGGCACCACTGAAGTTTTAGCTTTAGATGCTAACATTACTCTTTTCTGGCATTTGAGTTTTGCATTACACATCCCAAGACTGAGTACCAGTGTTCTGTCTCAGAAGAGATGGTAATTCCAGCCTACATTGCTCAGGACCTATATTAGGTCTTTGAGGCACTGCTATTTCAACCTGAGAGAAAAATGTCTCTCCAGCATCAGCAGACACAATATATCAGATTTACAAATTCAATTTGATCTCTTTGTATTACTTGCCAGGATTGCCAAAGGGCAAGACTTTAAGGTAAAATTCCTCACAAACCCACTGAATGAAGCAACAATTTCACCCAAAAAAATCACACTAGTTCATAGTCTCCACTACAGACTGAATGTTTGTGTCTTCCCACCCATTCATATGTTGAAGCTTTAATCCCCAGTGCAATGGTATTTGGAGGTAGATTCTTCGGGGACTATTAGGTATAGATGAGGTTATGAGGGTGGGGCCATTTTGATGATGTTAGTGCCTTGGTAAGGAGAGTAAGAGACCAGAGCTTCCCCTCTGGCCACCATGTGAAAACACAGGGAAAACGTGGCCATCTGCAAACTAGGAAGCAGGCCCTCAGCAGACACTAAATTTGCCATCTTGGACTTTCCAGCCTCCAGAACTGTGAAAAATAAATGTTTGTTGTTTAAGCCACCAGTCTGTGTCATTATGCTATAGAGGCCTGAACCAACTAAGACAGTACCCTCCTTTGTCCCACCTAAATGGGAAAGAATGTTTATTTCAGGATCATAATTCCCAGTATACATCCAAAAGAACTGTCAGCTCCAGTCGCCTCCACTGTTAGAAGCTAAACTAGCAGTCTCTTCATAAGTCAAAGTCGCAAGATCAGCTTTTCCAAAACTTAAGCTTATCTGTCAACATTGTTTAGATCTTAGTAATTACTAAGCTTCCTCCTTAAGCCTTCTGGCTCCTTGGCTACCACAATTTCCAACTTCCTCACCCTAAATCAATGCTCCACAGGGAAAGTTTCAGTAAACCTTTATCTAGATTCAAAACAAGGAAGATAATTAGGATCATACTACCCATGGCACAAAATAAAAGTCTTGCCTATTTAAGTCTATGCTGACATTTCATAATACTAGCACTATAGCTATAGCAAGAAACCACTCCTACACAACTCATTAACTACGCTGCTGCCTGGCAAGACACAACTAGCATATAACACCCACAAGGTCTACAAGACAGTAAAGGGGCCAGGACTATAGTGAAACAGGGTGAGCTCTACTCCGGGAGATGAAGAGCTTTTTCAAGACTAGAATTTCTGCTAACTAGCTGTGAGACTGTGGAAAGTGACTGTAAAATGGACATTTTATTGAGCATATACAACCAGTATACTGAGCAATGAGGAGCATAGATCCATAAGGATGAGTCACTATTTTCACCAAGCTACATGAGATTGGGAACCAGATTTCCTCAAAAGTGCCTTTCTCTGCCACATTTAATGAATCTGTGTACCATGTCTGTGCAAAAACAGCCAAGCATTACATTATTAAGAGACTTAAGATACTTTGGAAGGCTCCCTATCATCATACTAAAGCTACTTAATCCTATAGGGTCACCAGGGAGTCCAATCAATGGGCTTGAATAGAGCTTTATATAATGCCTGACTTCAGGAGTTGCTCTTGGTGCTATCTGTGCACCAAGAGTTTCTGGACTTAGAGTTCAGCTGTGGCCCCTGATTAAATATTTCATAATGCTCACGTGGGTTGTGTATCACCTAATAATACATCAATCCTGAGCCTTTCATGTTAATCCCTTTCTCTTATGGATGCCAGGCAAAACTTTTTTTTTAAATAAGAACATTCTAGCCAGGTGCAGTGGCTCACGCTTCTAATCTCAGCACTTTGGGAGGCCTAGGCAGGCAGATCACCTGAGGTCGGGAGTTCAAGAACAGGCTGACCAACATGGAGAATCCCCGTCTCTGCTGAAAACGCAAAATTAGCTAAGTGTGGTGGAGCATGGCTGTAATCCCAGCTACTCGGGAAGTTGAGGCAGGAGAATCACTTGAACCTGGGAGTCAGAGCTTGCAGTGAGCCAAGATCAAGCCATTGCACTCCAGCCTGGGCAACAAGAGCAAGACTCCATCTCAAAAAAAGAAAGAAAAAAGAAAGAAAGAAAGAAAGAAAGAAAGAAAGAAAGAAAGAAAGAAAGAAAGAAAGAAAGAAAGAAAGAAAGAAAGAAAGAAAAGAAAGAAAGAAAGAAAGAAAGAAAGAAAGAAAGAAAGAAAGGAGGGAGGGAGGGAGGGAGGGAGGGAAGGAAGGAAAAGAAAAGAAAAAAAGAAAAGAAAAGAAAGAGAAAGGAAGGAAGGAAGGAAGGAAAGAAGGGAGAGAAAAAAGAAAAGAAAAGAAAATTATATTTTGCTGTTGCTGAAAATTCCTTGACTTCTCTGTGTTCCCAGTTAACTTGGGCAGCTAATTATTTTGTAATAGAGACTCAAGCCAACATCACATATGCTTTGTCTTTTAGTCAATGTTTCTCTGTCTTGGATATCATTGATCTGCCATGTACCTAAGCCCCCTACCCTAAAATTCAGAGCAAGTCTCCTGTCATGGAGATGCATGGAAATAACAGTGATAACAGAGCAGTTCCTATGTTTGTCTTTTCACAGGAAATTGTCTCCAGCCTATGAATCAAAAAGAACATTTTAACATGCTTTCTTCTCTCGCCCACCTTCTCACCTCTCGCCCACCCCTTCTGAAACAACGGCTGTCTTTCTATCTGGTCTTGTTAACCCTTGGCTGAGAAAGCAGATTTTTCTATGTGATTGATATCTTGAACGTAAATCTAGAGTTTTGCCATCACAGCCTGACAGGAGTAAATAAAAGGACAAATTGTAGGTGTGTTGGTTGTCACAGCAGGGGTGCCTATCATGGCATCAGCTTTCTTGTCCACGAATGTGTGAACTGCCTGAAAGGCCAAGGCAATTGAAAGGCAAGCATAAACCTGTCTGTTTTCTCAGATATTAACAGAAATTGCCTCCTACTGCGATCACTTTTCTGGCTTAGTGTTCTGAGAAAGAAACAGGCCATTCTGTTTCTAACCCAATTATTGAGTGCACTTTAGTCCATCAAGGGAGAAAAATCTCAGTGGACTGGTGCGGCTATTCAGTTCTACCAATCCCGTACTAAGAATGGCCCTCTTTCTCTTTCTCTCCTGTCTCTGTCTATCTCTCTCCTTCTCCTGCCTCCCCTTTTCTTTTTTCTCCTTTTCTTTTTTCTTTTCTCTTCTCTGTCTACCCCCTCTACTTCAGAGAGAGAGATAGAGAAAGAAAGAGAAGCACTGGATATACCTGAACACTCACTTCATCTTGTGCCCAAAGTATGCAGTATCTTAGTTTATCTTCAAGTGCGTGATGATGACCACTTCCACTAGCTATTATGCTGGTCTCCAAATAATCCAAATGCCTGTGGTGGGTGAGTGTATGTATAAGAAATGTGAATAGGAACATAAAGAAAATATAGAAAAATGATAAACCATGGTGCCATAGTTTGACTGTGTCTCCCAAAGTTCATGTGTTGGAAATTTAACCTCCAATGCAACCGTGTTGGGAGGCAGGGCCTCATAAGAAGAGACTAGGACATGAGGGCTCTGCTCCTATGAATGGATTGTGTTGTTATAACAGGAGTGGGTTAGTTATCATGAGGGTGCTTTTGTTTTGATAAAAGCAAGTTCAGCCCCGGCTCCAACTTGCTCTTTCACTCTTGTGCTCCTGCCCTTCCACCTTCTGCCATAGGATGATGCAGCTTGAAGGCCCTGCCAGATGCCAGCACCATGCTCACCCAGCCTTCAGAACCAGGAGGCAAATAAATTTCTGCTCATTATAAATTACCCAGTTGGTGATAATCTAATAGCATAATACAGACTAAGAAGGGGTTCAAAAATATTAATACACATACCTTGACCAAAAGAAAAAGTGACTAATAATTGGCCACATAAGTGGACACATAATAAGCTGGGCACATAAATGGAAACATACCAGGGAATGTGTTTCAGAGAATGCTGTACACACCAGCTGCTCAGGACTTGCAGCTCTGAACAGTTACACAACTGAATGGTTCACAAATTTCATGTGAAGCTGAGATTAGCCATGATCTGCCCAGCAAACAGGGGAACCCTCAGTCAAATTAGCCAGTTACCTGGCTAGTTGCTAGGTAACCCAAAGTTCCGGGGGTCAGTTGTCAGATTTCCTGCTTGTCACTCCACCTCCCCAACATACCCCACCTGTATACCAAGAATCCTCCTTCTCTTTCAAGGTGATTACAGGGGGTCCTGTACTAGGAAGGAGGGTTACATTCAACAATTTGAATAGGGCCATTAAATCTCAGGGTATAGATAAGCAGCATGTCTGTCATCAATTAGGAAATACATGAGATGTTAAAGGAAGGCACTTCTCAAAGTGATTAGGAAACATTCCCAGGCACCTTCTCTGCCCAGGTATCTTGTAGTATCCTCCTGAGTGGTAAGCAATGATCTGTGGGATGTGTCTTGACCTCCACGTAGCTCCCTGAAGCTAGTGATGGTTAATGCACCAGCCAATTTCCTTCTCTCTGTCTGTTCGTTCTGAGGCCCAAATGACTTTAATCTCAGCGATGCTTTCTGCTGTCTGCCTCCTCCAAGGCTATATCCCCTTCTATCCCAGATGACCCTCACCTGATCTGAGGCACAGAGAAGGGCAGGCAGGTAGAATTCTCACACTCTTTATTCTTCTTCCATTTATTTTTGTGGTATAAAATTGTTCCCTTAGCTTTCCTCAAAGCCTCTCTATAGGTATTCAAGAACTTATTTTGGAAGTTTCAAAACATTTTTTAAAACTTAATCTTAAAAATGACTTTCTCCTTGCTGACCTGCTGTGACAATCCTAATGCTCCACAGGCAGTTGTGAATGTCTCTGTTGGACTAGAGGAAAGGTCAGCACAAGAAATGTTCAGAAAACAAAAGGAGGCAAAAAACACAGTATTTCAAGACAACACCTCTTCCCAGCCACATTCACTGCTCCTCTCCTCCAACAATTCATTAATCCTTGACTTCTCCTTCAGTAACTCTGCTGAATTCTCTTCTCAATCTCTTAGTTACATTCACTCATTTCTTTTTTCAGACCTCAATCTCTGATGATATTTGATAATGCTGACCATATCCTCTGCATTAGAGGGGGAGGGGGCATAATGACACACGAGCAGTAGGAATCTCACTCCATACTAGCTTAAGCTAAGAGGAGAAATTTTGGAAGGATACTGAGCTATTTCCTCCAAATAAATTACTTGTTCAGCCTTTTGTCTCAGGGCCTGCATTTTCAAATGTGTCCTCCCATACAGGGTAGAAATGAACTGTTATAACCTCTAACAAATGCAGTTGCAATATCTGAATGTCATTGTTTTTAACCAATTGAACCCTGCCTCCTTGTAGCTTCAACATATTATATCTGCATCTTCCCTTAAGGCACACTTTGATATAAGAAGCTAGATCTGGATTAGACTTCAGGCAAGAACACGTTAACCATTCATCATGAAAACCTTCTCTAAAATGAAACAATACAGATGAAACAATTTTGAGGAATAGTATCTTTAATGAGTTTTCTAATCCTTGTCATCTGAGATACAGAAATATTTACAGGGTCAGAACAATACAGAGAGAGTGTTTGTATAATAAAGCATATTTTAAATTTCATTTAAGCCCTCTCATTTTTCCTCCCACACCTGCTTTATTTTTTGTTTTGATGAAAGAGAAATAAGAAATAAATAGAAGATCAATGCTTCAAACTAATCTACCCCTGTACTCCCTGAAAACTTTAGGACTGAAGTATTACTTATACTGAAGTATATTACTTATACTGAAGTGTAAGTAATCCACATTAGGGAAAACTCTTCTCAAATGCACAATCACACACACCTCAGGCAGGAACTGATGGTCTTTCAAAAGAAAAAAGAAGAGGGGCGAACTTCCGGTCCTGTGTTTGACACATACTAGAGAAAACCCCTAAAGAGAACACTGAATTGTATGTTCTCAGACAAGACGCCCCTGTGACCACAGCATAACGAATTCTGCTCTGACATTTTAGTGGTTCAATCTCCTGACATGAATAAATATTCCAGTCAGGTGTGGTAGTTCACTCCTGTAATCAAAGCACTTTGGGAGGTCAAGGCAGGCAGATCACCCGAGGTCAGGAGTTGGAGACCAGATTGACCAACATAGTGAAACCCCATCTCTACTAAAAATGCAAAAATTAGCCAGGTGTGGTGGCGGGTGCCTATAATCCCAGCTACTCAGGAGGCTGAGGCATAAGAATCACTTGAACCTGCGAGGTGAAGGTTGCAGTGAGATGAGATCGCACCACTGCACTCCAGCCTGAGCAACAGAGTGAAACTCTGTCAAGAAAAAAGAAGGGATTCCTTTCTGTGGTAATTGACTCAATAGGGTGAAGTGTGAGATTACTACTCAGGACAGAAATAATTTATATCTTGCCTTTTTTGTTCAACGTCCTCTTTGTATTTGGTTTCATTGAGGAAAACCAACCTCTTTAACCAGGAGATTACGTTCTTTCTGTTTTCCTAATCATTATGCAGAGTGTGTTCTGACCCTGGGCGTGTCAATCATACTTAATAAAATGAGTGGCCTAAATGGAACCTTCAAGTTTCTCTAGCACAATCCTCTAATTTTACAGATTTTAAAAAACCAAGGCCCGGAGAAGGTAACATGTTTTTCAAGAACACGCAGCCAGCCTGTGCAAAGGCTCATGAATAGTCTTCATCCTGACTGACACTAAAAAGGAGACAAAAGATTAACTCGGTTCAGATTTGGGAGAACAAAGGGTTGTCTTCATGCAGATGGCTGGGATTTGAGGAGGAAAGTAAACTCTGGAGAAAAAGGAAAAGCTGTCCAGTGGCCAGGTGTGCAGATGTTTTCACTCAGCCCCAGCTGCCTGCTGGGGGCCTCAGGAGCCTACTGGGTTTCCACAGCACAAGGCTTTATGCTGATGATGGAGATGCTCCGCCCTGTGCACCTCAGAGCGCCCACCTCACACTCAGACATCGTCTGCTCCTTGCCGTTCACTTCCACACAAATGCTAAACCCTTCTTCTTCGCACTCCAATACTTCTCGGCAGACACATTTGCTGCTCTCAGCTGAAAAAGTAAGTGAAAGAGGCTTAACGGTACATTGTGGAGGTGGGGGAGTCAAAGCACATCACCTCCAAAGTAATAATGTGGTGATTAGAGCTACAGAAGCTCCTGTCTGGAATGATATAATAAACTATCCCCTGGAAAAGTGGTAGGACCAGGAAATTGGGGCATTTTGCTCCACTCCAAAGAAATAGGTTTTCAGGTTGGTGCCAGCTCTCTATTAGTTTGACCCACACGGGGTGGTTCTATCCAAGTCAAGAGCTCGTCAACTTTCTCCCACCTAGAAGCTGCTGTCCCTATGAGCCAGCAATTGAGATCAAATGAGAAACCCTCAACAAAGAACCAAGTCAAGACTCAAACACAGAGAGAGAAAAAAAGAGAACTTAAACTTGATTTGAGAGAGACAGCATGACATACAAAAGACTACAAATCCAAAAAAACAAATCAGAAATGAGTTAGGGAGGCAAGGAGTCTGTGCACTGGAAGTATATGGTTGGATTACACCAGCCAGGAGTCTCCCAAAGAAAAGTAACAAGGTCACCCAGCAGACAGTGGTGACCGCCAAACCAAAAGGGACTCAGACACAGCTAGAGTTACATACGTCATCAGTCTGCTGCAAACTGTGAGGGGGTGAGGGGAAAGGTGCCAGTGGGTACAGGCCAAGAGGGCAGAGAGTGAGGAGCCAACAGAGACCTTACAAGTCATATAGTCCAACTCCCAAATTTACAGATAAGGAAGCCCAGGCAGTGACCTGGCTCCGGAGACTCAGCCATTCCCCTTTCATAGTATTGCCCAAATCCTGGGAGGCTTACTGTGCCCTTGAGGTGTTCAAGATCATTGTAACTGCTACCTGAACATAGCATTAGCAAATATTGAATCACAACATGAGAAAGTAACTTAATTTCCTATTCTCTTCAAATCCATCTGATTACTTCTAGAAGGAAGTGTCAGCTTAGTGCTAGTATGTTTTTAACACCCCTCTAACACGTGCTAAACTCACAGAGAAACAGCATAGTCAATGTTAGACCAGTATCTGGCTAGAATCCACAACTTTGCATTACATCTAATGTTTATAGTTACCTAACACTTATGGCAAGTAATAAATCCTTTTAAGGACGTGATATAAAGTTTTCATTTTAAAGTTACTTTTATGTCAGACTTTTAAAAATACACAATATGGATAATACAAGGACAGATCAAAAATCATGAAGGCGGAATGGAATCACCCATGTTTGGGAGAACATTCTCATCAGGAATGGGTTCTTATACTCTGAGGTCTGTAATCTGCCCCCCTCTCCAGGAAGGGGTATAGGAGAGGTCAGTGCACTGTCAAATCAGTTTGAGTTTTTAACATCCTCAAGTATCTGCTTTGGCCCACTGCTAAACTAGAAACCACATTTTAAAAAACCTCGGTACTGTGACTTCAGCATTCTTATACTTGCAAATATGAAAGGCCCCTTACCATCACATTTTCCCCACAGTGGGCAGGCACCACAAGCTTTCTCAGCTGAGGCAGGCAGAGTGCAGCTGTCCCTACCAGTAAGAGTGTAGTTTCTACCCTGACAGTGGAGAACATGCATCTTGCAAACTGTCAGAGGCAGTATCCTTTTGCTTCTCTCATCTCGAGCGCATACATCCAAGGAAGATCTGAAAAGAATTTTTAATAACATCATTTACAAGATTTTGGTTCTTAAAAGCTGAGAAGTAGAAATGAAAAGTGATACTCTGAGCTTAGTGCCCCCAGATGTTATCACCCAAAGCAAAGATAAAAAAGGATGGAAACTCAAATCCCCTTCATTCCTAGGGTCCAATCCACTTAGGTCTTCAAAATGATCATATTTGTATTTATTCTCTTCATTTGCTCACAATTTTTGCAAGTGTAGATATCTAGTGTTGATAGATGAGAAGGCAAGGTCTGCTAGCAACAGCTGGCAAAGAAGGAGACAGAAAACCAGCGGAAACCAAGCATTCAATATAATCATAGTCAAATGGGACCATTAATTGCAGGAGCAATGAACTCATCCCAGCCCGGCAGCCAAGAGTTCACGTCCATAAAACAGCATCATCCAAAAATGGATGACCCTAAATCATCAAGGGAAGATAAACATGTATTTTTCAATGCTACTTTTAAAAGTACCTATGTTTACAAAACAGTTTAGAAATAAGGCTGGGCGCTTATAATCCCAGTGCTTTGGGAGGCCGAGGCAGGCGGATCACTTGAGGGCAGGAGTTCAAGACCAGCATGGCCAACATGGTGAAACCCCTTCTCTACTAAACATATAAAAACTAGCTGGGCATGGTGGCACACACCTGTAATCCCAGTTACTAGGGAGGCTGAGGCAGGATAATCACTTGAACTCGGGAGGCAGAGGTTGCAGTGAGCTGAGATTGCACCACTGCACTCCAAACTGGGTGACTGAATGAAATTGTGTCTCAAAAAATAAATAAATATTTTCATAAACTGTGTTACCTTTTTCATAGGCATTGGTGTTAAATAATGGAAAAAAAATAGCTATTTAGAAATGTCACTATCAAAAAATTCCACATTTCTGAATGCTGACAGATAAGGTACGCATTATCATCACTGAAGCCTTAGACAACAGAACATTTTTGTATACCAGATGGAATCAGAAAGAATCTATATTCACACACTTTATTTAGTTCTAATATTTTCCTCTTCTATTAAAAGCTAAATTTAATTGGAGTTATTTATAAAGCAGAAACAAATCCTGTTGTTTTGAATCTATCTTTTCATCTGTTTGTTTAAACTTTAAATAGAACTTCCAACAGCTGAAAGGGCAAAGACCTTACAATACCACCTGTTGTCAGTATCTGAGACCATGGAATGACATGGAAATTCATCCTATAACTATTAACCACGGGCTGCAGATAAACTAAATGAAATGGGGAAGTTGGAAAGAGGAGAAAAGTGACTCAAAATAAACAATGATTATTACAGATTAGCAGTAAAGTCAGAATATTAGAATCAGAATATATCTACACTGACCACCATTTCCATCATGCCATTTAGGTATATTCTTCTTCACACCAGAAATTACTATATACAATAACTATTAACTACTGTAGGTTCAAGAAGTTAGATATGGGTTTTGATAAGCAAAATCATTAAAAACCAAGTAATTCGTGTTTTGGGTGTTTTTTTATTTTTCATTTTTTGAGATAGGGTCTGGCTCTGTTACCCAGGCTGGAGTACAGTGGCATGACTTTGGCTCACTGAAGCCTCAACCTCCCCGGCCTCAAGCGATCCTCCCACCTCAGTCTCCTGCATAGCTGGGACTACAGGAGCGTGCCACCACACTCAGCTAATTTTTTTATTTTTTTGTAGAGAAGGGGTTTCACCATGTTGCCCAAGCTGGCCTCGAACTCCTGAGCTGAAGCAATTGGCCCACCTTGGCCTCCCAAAGTGCTGGGATCACAGACATGAGCCACACACCAGGTCATCTTTCGGTTCTTAATTTTAAAAATGACCAGTAAGTCTGGAGGCTGGATAATATCTCATTTCCTCCCCAGATCCACGTTCTACTCTTCTCCACCTGCCTGGTAGGCTGACATGTATGGGCCACATCATGGGCTTCCTCAGCTTCTAGCTTCAGTAGGTTTGATCAATGGGGAGCACTGGCAGCACGCTCGAGGCAGGAAAGAGTACAGTTGACGTGTTTATTCCCCTAGCTCACACCTGTGGGATCTCTGAGGTCCCTAAAATGAGAGTGTCAGCTCCTCCTCAGGGCCATCTCCACACAATTCTCTTGGTCTCCAGTTTTTCCTGGATGCCCCTCTCCTTACTCCTTGGACCTGGCTATGGATTTACGGTTGAGCTGTTACCATGGGAATACTGCCATGGAACTTGTAGTTTCCTTTACTCTGTTCACATTTTTGTAAGTATTCCTGCTAGTAAAACTTTTCTTGTCCTAATTTAATTATGCCATCTCTATCCTACTAGGACCATAACACAGACATCTAGTAACTACTTCAGATATCCCCCTACAGTGAATGGAGTGATTTCAAGTTGGTGGCACTCTTAACAATGCAAATCTAGAGAAGACGCTTCAAGAATCAACAAAAGTGGCTGCTCTTTCCCTATCAGAATTGCTTTAAAAGTTATGTCCCAAAGGAATTTCAGCTCTAATCCTCTAAAGTTGCAAATCCTCAGCTGACGGTTTGTCATTTCGCTCCATTTTATATATAAGACAAGCAGTGCTCAAGTAGTCCTTCAGCCTTCTCCACTAGCCAGATTAGAACACTGCTTAATGCCATGGCTGTCGGCCCTAGCGACCCAGGGAAATAGCTGATGGACTAGGTCAAAAGGCAAACAAAGATCCTTAACGCTTGGTAAGCTACACTTTCCATCCAACAGAGACTAGCATCTAAGAAATCATCGCTTATCATGAATAAAATAAAATGGAGAAGTGAGCAAAGACAGCACTTACCCACATTCGTAGGGCATTTTACAAACACATCTTGAATTCTGCAGTTTCTCCCAGCGCTGACATTTAGGCACTGCCTGTGTTAAAGGAGTGTCTAAAAAAGGACAGGGAGATGGGATCATTAGGACAAAAGCTTCTTCATAGTCAACAAGGTATTATTTAAATTGCTGAACCAGGATCTGTAGTATTCTCAGCTGCAGTGAGCTTGCATGGGAAAAACAGCAGTAATAATCAAGGTGTAACACATTTTATAAACTATACAGAGTTTCTAGAGCCACATGACAAATAATTGCATTGGCAGCAATAGCTACTATCTTGTGAGCATTTACAATTGTCATGCACTGTTTATACATAGGGATATTTATGACCCCTAACAAATGCCCACCTAAGAAATCAGAAAATTAAGAGTGAAAAAAGTTAGGAAGTTGGTGCTACTTCACAAATTTTACAATTTGTCCAGGTAGGATGTAAGTCTACATTGGCATATACTTTTGCATCATAAAACTAGATAGTCATTTTCTATATCTATAAAGGTAATTTATCTGAAGAGCATGTTTTTATGAAGACATCAACTATGGAATACTTCCTTACTTTGGAAAGTTCAAGAGCTTCAGACATGACATGACAATCTTGTGAACATTCATAAACCTGTAAAAATGGTGGCAATGTGAAGTATGCCTGCCACGGCCAGCAGTCTCAGTAATAAGCCTCGTCATTAAAACACTTCTCTTGGTCAGGCGTGGTGGCTCATGCCTGTAATCTCAGCATTTTGGGAAGCCAATGCGGGCAGATCACTTGAGGTCAGGAGTTCAAGACCAGCCTGGCCAACATGGTGAAACCCAATCTCTACTAAAAATGCAAAAATTAGCCGGGCATGGTGGCACACACCTGTAATCCCAGCTACTCAGGAGGCTGAGGCGGAAGAATTGCTTGAACCCAGCAGACAGAGGTTGCAGTGAGCTGAGATTGGGCCACTGTACTCCAGCCTGGGCAACAAAGTGAGACATTGTCTCAAAAAACAAACAAAAACAAAAACCAACAACAACCAAAAAAAACCACTTCTCTTTAAAATGGTGTTATCCTAAATGCATCACCTATACCCTGACCTGGATCCTAGAACATAAAAGAGACATTTGTGGTAAAACAGGAGATATTTGACTAATGTGTGTAGTTTAGTTAATAGCATTGTGCTAATATTAATTTTTTAGTTTTAACCATGTTGTGTTATGTAAGATGTTAATATTAAGGAAGATGGGTGAAGGGTGTATAGAAATTATATCTGGACTTTACTGAAATCTAAACTTATTCCAAAATGAAATTTTTAAAAAATGGTGTTATCTACATCAGTTCTTCTTAACCATGGGCAGTTTTGTCCCCCAGGGGACATCTGGAAATCACTGGAGACATCTTTGGTTGTTACTGCTGCAGAGTGTTACTGGCATAGGAGGATGCTACTGGGAGGTAGAGACCGGGAATGCTGCTAAACACCCTGGAATGCATAGACCAGGCATCCATAGCAAAGAATTACCAGGCCTAAAATTCCAATAACGTTGAGGTTGAGAAGGCTTAATCTAGGTGTACCAAAACTTAAGTTCGATGATCAAGCCACGTAAATTAGTTCTGTACTGTGGTTAAAAATTTACTTTATCACGAGGCCAAGAGATCGAGACCATCCTGGTCAACATGGTGAAACCCCGCCTCTACTAAAAATACAAAAAATTAGCTGGGCATGGTGGTGCGTGCCTGTAATCCCAGCGACTCAGGAGGCTGGGGCAGGAGAACTGCCTGAACCCGGGAGGCGGAGGCTGCGGTGAGCTGAGATCGCGCCATTGCACTCCAGCCTGGGTAACAAGAGCGAAACTCCGTCTCAAAAAAAAAAAAAAAAAAAAAAAATTTACTTTAGAACAAATCCTGAAATTTTAGATTTTAATAGTTTGCTTAAATTATTATAATGTCTTCATGAAAAAAATATATTGATAGAATTACCTAGCCCAAAGAATGTTTGCATTGAAAAAGAACATAGTTTTGTCACCTTTACAGCTTGGTTAACCAAATAAACACACTCTTACGGCCCACTGAGAGTATGTACTTTTGCTATTTTAAAAGAAAATTTCTTCACATCAAAACTAACTACAGGAAGAGTAGGGGAAAGTGAGGAATTAATGTTTAATGGATATAGAGCTTCAGTTTGGAAGATGAAAAGAAATGTTGGGGTGATGGTCGCACAATGGGAATTACTTAATGCCACTGAACTGTACATTTAAAAATGGATAAAATGGTAAATTTTATGTTATATATGTTTTACCACAACAAAAAAAAAGATGAAATACTAGAACAGCCAACATTTTAAAATGTCAACTTTGGAGGCTGGTAAGTCTGGGATTTTTTTGTTTGTCATAGATTTAAGGGTAGTTACTATTATTTACAACTTCAGAAAAGCACACAGATCTGAAAAACATTCTTAATTAAAACCCACTTTAATAGAATTTTCTACTGGGTAAAAAAAAACTTCATATCAAATTATGCTGTAAAATAGCTGAAGTAGGATTTTAGAAAGACTAGCCTATAATCTCATTGGAAACAAATTACAGCCCCATCAACTGTATATTGTTCTCTTTCATTTTAGAATTATTAGTACTGGTCCATTACTGTAAGTATTCCAGGTAAACTCATGTTTATGCTTTAGCGTTTACTCAACACGAAACAACTGTCCTCTGATATGGGGCCTTGATAGCTACAGGCAGCTACATCAGGACAGGCAGGGAGGGACTCCAAGGATGTGTGCCTTGCCCATTGTCCTGCCTCTCATCCACTTAACATCATAGCCTGTATCTGCCATCCGTATCCGAGTGCTCTGTACCCTATTGCATGGAGAACTTAGAAACATCTAATTAACCTCACAGTATCACCTATGAAATCTAGTACTTCATCCCCACTATTAAAAATAAATCTCAGCATTTAATTAAAAATCACATAATAGAGAGATAGTATCACAAAAAATAGTACACACGTAAATGTTTCTTTATTCTCACTTTTGTTACAAATATATTTTCATTTATTTAAAAAATGTAAACAAAGAAGAAATAGGGGATTATTTTCAAACAAATTACCTCTAAAAAGAAATAGTCTCGCTTTCTAAATCCTTTCTACTTTAGATTCTTACAAGACCATTTTAATTTTCTTGGTGTTCAAAGCACTGGATTTTTGGGTTTCCACATTAAGAACAATTTCATGAATCACAACACTTTTTCTTCAATAATGCCTGCTTTAAAGTGTTAAATAAAAATGCCTTCTGAATTATCAATTTCAGAAACAATAATAAACTCTATGAAAGCTCAAAAATGAAACATACAGAATTTTACGTAAATTATGATATCAACCCTAGGGAAACTGAAGGGGGAAAAATTAAGAGGAAACAACAACAAAAAACAGGTTTTAAAAATCCTTTATTGTCTTGCCACCATAACAGACATAAAGCTGATCTTTCACGAGGAGGGTTTAAGTTAAAAGTTTCAGAATTACCAAGCCTATCCTTGCCTTTCCCTGCATTCATGAGTCTTTCTGTGCCATGTGAGGAAAATCTGTTTCTCAGTCTACAAAGTGACCTCCATCTCTTGGGGAGCAAGAATGGAGGAATGACTCAGAGTTATGATATGATACAGTACCATGAAGGCTGACGCAAAGACTCTCACCCACCTGAGTGCAAGTGTCCTTGGATAGACGAAGAAGCCACTCACCTTTTTGTACACACCGGACATTCTTCATCTCAGGACTCCACTTAAGGCTGGAGCCACAGAGAAATGCGGAAGGACCTTCCAAGGACATGCCACCTGAACAAGAAACAGTCACCTTCTCACCAACTGTGTAGAAAGGTTTATGGGGGTGACTCTGTATGCCATCCATCAGGACAGGTAGAACACAGGCAATTTCTAAAGATAAAAGAGAGCAAAATATAAGGGTCATTGCTCTTATAAACCATCTTTTTAAAAAGAGTCTTCTGTGATGCTGATACGCTTGTTCTGCTTTTTCATATTAGAGGACAAGGAGGAAGAAGTAAGTACTCTTAGGGTGGACTGAAAAACATGTCACACAGAGCCTGGCATGTAAGTGACGAATAAATAACTAGAGACCAAAACATCTCCCCCCCACCCATCCCCTCAAAACAATGTGGCGACTTAAAATGAACAACCCCAACAGAGTCCTAATACCCCGCCTACTGTTGAAACCAAACTTTTCACAGCTGTCGCTTATTTCTGTGCTCTAATGATGTCCCATCAGAATTTTTCTGAGCTGTATTCATTTGAGTTTCATTAACTTTCATCCAGTTAGATATTTTGCTCTCTGAAATTATTAAAGCACCACTTTTATTTATTTATTCATCCTTTTTAGGGACAGGGTCTCTCTATGTTGCCCAGGCTGGAGAGCAGTGACTATTCATAGATTTAATCAGTGTATACTACAGCCTCAAATCCTAGGTTCAAACAAGCAATGGGGAAAGGATTGCCTATTTAATAAATGGTGCTGGGAAAACTGACTAGCTATACCCAGAAAACAGAAACTGGAGCCCTTCCTTATACCTTACACAAAAATTAACTCCAGATGGAGTAAAGACTTAAATGTAAAACCTAAAACCATAAAAACCCTACAAGAAAAAAAAACCTACAAGAAAACCTAGGCAACACCATTCAGGACATGGGTACGGGCAAGATCTTCATGACTAAAACACCAAAAGCAATTGCAACAAAAGCCAAAATTGACAAATGGGATCTAATTAAACTAAAGAGCTTCTGCTCAGCAAAAGAAACTATCATCAGAGTGAAGAAGCAACTTACAGAATGGGAGAAAACTTTTGCAATCTATCCATCTGACAAAGGTTTAATATCCAGAATCTACAAGGAACTTAAACAAATTTACAAGAAAAAACAACCCCATCGAAAAGTGGGCAAAGGATATGAACAGACACTTCTCAAAAGAAGACACTTATAAAACAAACATATGAAAAAAAGCTCATCATTGTTGGTCATTAGAGAGAAATGCAAATCAAAAACACCATCTCACGCCAGTTGGAATGGCAATCATTAAAAAGTCAGGAAAGAACAGATGCTGGCAATGATGCAGAGAAATAGACACACCTTTACATTGTTGGAGGGAGTGTAAATTAGTTCAACCATTGTGGAAGACAGAGTGGCGATTCCTCAAGGATCTAGAACCAGAAATACCATTTGACATGGCAATCTCATTACCGGGTATATACCCAAAGGATTGTAAATCATTCTGTTATAAAGACACACACATACGTATGTTTATTGCAGCACTATTTACAGTAGCAAAGGCTTGGAATCAACCCACATGCCCATCAATGATAGATTGGATAAAGAAAATGTGGCACATATATACCATGGAATACTACGCAGCCATAAAAAAAGGATGAGCTTATGTCCTTTGCAAGGACATGAGTGAAGCTGGAAACCATCGTTCTCAACAAACTAACAGGAACAGGAATCCAAACACTACACGTTCACACTCATAAGTTAGAGTTGAACAATGAGAACACATGGACACAGGGAGGGGAACATCACACACTGGGGCCTGTTAGGGAGTGGGGGACAAGGGGAGGGAGAGCATTAGAAAAAATACCTAATGCTTGCTGGGCTTAAAACCTGGAAGACAGGTTGCTAAGTGCAGCAAACCACTATGGCACATGTATACCTGTGTAACAAACCTACACGCTCTGCACATGTATCCCAGAACGTAACGTAAAATTTAAAAAAAAAATTTTTTAACTCCTGCACTCAAGCAGTCCTCCTGATTCAACATCCTAAGTAGTTGGGATCACAGGCACATGCCACCACACCCAGCTAACGCACCACCTTTAACCTTGCAGACATAAAAGTGTTCAGTGTTCCCTGATTTTTTATCTATATTCTTTCTTACTCAATTCCATTGATTAGCTCAAATTGGTTACTTCAAAAAAGAACAGAGAAAAAGAAAAAATACACATAGTGTAAACAGCAAGTCAGAATTTATTATCAAAAAAACAATCTCACTAATATCCCTAATGGACTTTGGAAAATATTCTACAAAGTACTGCTGTATCCTTACACCACTGTCATTTAAAAAAAATTCTTTCATTGTCTTCTGCTAGGTTTTGAGTTTTTTTTTATCTTGCTCCTCTAGCTCTTTCAATTTTGACGATAGGGTGTCAATTTTAGATCTTCATTCTCAGCAAACTGACACAAGAACAGAAAATCAAACACCACATGTTCTCACTCATAGGTGGGTGTTGAAAAATGAGAATGCATGGACACAGGGAGGGGAGCATCACACACTGGGGTCTGTTGGGGGGAACTAGGGGAGGGACAGCAGGAGGTGGGGAGTTGGGGAGGGATAACATGGGGAGAAATGCCAGATATAGGTGATGGGGAGGAAGGCAGCAAATCACACTGCCGTGTGTGTACCTATGCAATAATCTTGCATGTTCTTCACATGTACCCCAAAACCTAAAATGCAATAAAATAAAATAAAATAAACATCATTCAAAAATAGCATCTGATGGATACACTGAAGGCTTTGACTTCACCACAATGAAATCTATCAATGTAGCAAAATTGAGCTAGTACCCCATGAATATATTCAAAACTCCACAGCATTTTTGAGTGCCTGTATTTTGCCAAATATGTTGTGTACTGTTTGGGACACAACAAAATACAAGTCATATCTTATGTTTTCTGAAATTTCATCATCTGGTATGGAATTTGCTTGTTTCTAACACATTTGCTGTTTTGACAATAAATCTCCTACCAAAACAGAAAATGGAAAGGCTGTACAAAATTAAAAAGAAAACTATTTCTGAGAGAATCAGAGCACTAATAAGGCAGTGCAAGTTTCAGAGTCCAAGATTTCAGAGAGAAGGGAAGTCTAATGTGGTGATTACAACATTTGGTAACACATTTTTCCTTGAGGTATTTGTAAATTTGAAAAAAAAAAAAATGTGCTGAAAGGCTGCTAAACTGAGGATAAAACTGTAGCTCAGAAGCTAAAAAGATGAATGGTTTTTTAGCAGTCTCACAGGTCCAGGGTTTTAAAAACTAGAGTCCAGTCCAGTCCAAAAAAAAAAAAATGGGCCAGGTAGAAAACTCATACCTTCAGTTGGAACCCCTTAATGGGCCCACCCTTGGAATAGAGATAACCCAGACGTAAGCCAGCCTCACTGGTTGTCATAAACAAAATTAAGTCTTCTCTAGAGGAAGACAGCAACATCCAATTTTTTGATTTTCATACGTAAAGTCTGACATTCAATTAAAACTAATTTACCATTCAAAAAGACAAGAATTGACCAAATTCCAACCAAGAAAGACAATAGAAACAGACTTACAGAAAAAGGCTTACATAAATAACGAAATTGACAGATATAGGCCCTGAAACAACTGCAATTAATACATTTTTTTTAATGACAAGATGGAGAATTACAACAGAGAATTATAAAATATAAAACAGTAAACACAAATGTTTGAAGTAATTGATGTACTATTTACTCTGATTTACTTATTACTCACTGTTTACACATATCAAAATATTACTTAAAAATATATTTTAAGTAAAAATTTTAATATTTTAAAATACAATAATGTAAGAATATAGGCTCATTAATTTTAATAAATTAGTGGAAGATGTTAATACCTAATAGGGAAACTGAGTGGTTAGTAAGAAAATAGATGGGAGCTCTCTATACTTTCTACTCAGATTTTTGTAAACTAAAAGTGCTCTAAAAATTAAGTTATTAATTTAAAAATTCACTATGCAATAAAAAAGTAGACAAATGAAACCTCTAAAGCTGAAAAATAGCTGACACAATGGCTCACACCTACAATCCCGGCACTTCGTGAGACGAGGCAGGCGGGTCACTTGAGCTCACAAGTTTGAGAACAGCCAGGGAAACATGGTGAAACCCCATCTCTACTAAAAACTACAAAAATAAGCTGGGCACCATGGCACACATCTGTAATCCCAGCTACTCAGGAGGCTGAGACAGAAGAATTGCTTGAGCCCATGAGGCAGAGATTACAGTGAGCCAAGATCGTGCCACTGCACTTCAGCATGGGTGACAGGAGTAAAATCCTGTCTCGAAAAATATATATGTGTGTGTGTGTGTGTGTGTGTGTGTGTGTGTGTGTGTGTGGACACACACACATATATAATTTTTTAAGTTGAAAAATAAAATCAATAAAATTTAAAACTCAATAGAGTTCTTAAAACGAGATTATACAGAAATATACAGAGAAGTAATAAGTTGGAAGATAGGTCAATCAAAAATATTTAGAATGAGGCCGGGTGTGGTCGCACATGCCTATAGTCCCAGCATTTTGGGAGGCGAAGGCAGGCAGATCACTTGAGGTCAGGAGTTTGAGACCAACCTGGCCAACATGGTGAAACTTCATCTCTACTAAAAATACAAAAATTAGCTGGGTGCAGTGGTGCACACCTGTAGTCCCAGGTACTCAAGAGGCTGAGACAGGAGAATCACTTAAACCTGGGAGGCAGAGGTTGCAGTGAGCTGAGATCGCATCACTGCCTCTAGTGTGAACAACAAACCAACTCAAATAAAAAATAAAAAATAAAATATTTAGAATGAAACAGAGGAGAAATAGAAAACAAAACAAAAAAAAGGATGTTAAAAAAAATAATGGTCCAAAAAATGTATAATTTGTGTCCCATTAGGACAAGTGAGCAAGAATGAGACAGAGGCAACGTTTTAGGACATAATGGTCAAGAAATGGTCTAAAACTGGCAAAAGACTTAAAGCACAGGTTCAATTAGTGCTTTGAATATTAGCTAGGATAAATACAAAGAAAATTACACCTAGGAACAACAGAGTAAAGTTGCTGGTGAAAGACAAAAACAAAAAATAATTAATAATACCCTTTTTCCACCCTAGAGCTACTGTCAAGCCCCAGACGCAGGTCTCTGTTCCACAGGACGGAATTTGTTAAAGTTGTTAAGAATAAGGGCTACTTTGAAAGATACCAAGTGAACTTTAGAAGATGACAAGAGGGTAAAACTGATTATTATGCATGGAAATACTTAGTGATACAGGATAAAAATAAATACAGCACACCCAAATACAGGACGATAGTCTGTGTAACAAACACAGGTATCATTTGACAGATTGCTTAGTCCCATATAGAAGGGAATATGATAGTCCGTGCAGTATGTGCACATGAACTGCCAAAATATAGTGTGAAGGTTGGCCTGAAAAATGATGCTAAAGCATATTGTACTGGCCCGCTGCTGGCCCGCAGGATTCTCAGTAGGTTTGGCATGGACAAGATCTATGAAGGCCAAGTGGAGGTGACTGGAGATGAATACAATGTGAAAAGCATCGATGGTCAGCCAGGTGCCTTTACCTGCTATCTTGATGCAGGCCTTGCCAGAACTCACAGGCAATAAAGTTTTTAGCACCCTAAAGGGAGCTGTGGATGGAGGCTTCTCTATGCCTCACAGTAGCAAACGATTTCCTGGTTATGATTCTGAAATGCAGAAGTACACCAGAAGCACATCATGGGCCACAATGCTGCAGATTACATGCACTACTTAAGGGAAGAAGATGAAGATGCTTACAAGAAACAGTTCTCTCAATACATAAAGAACGGTGTAACTCCAGACATGATGGAGGGGGTGTATAAGAACACTCATGCTGCTATACAAGAGAATGCAGTATATGAGAAGAAGCCCAAGAAAGAAGTTAAAAAGAAGTGGAACCATCCCAAAATGTCACTTGTTCAGAAGAAAGACCCGGTAGCTCATAAGAGGGCAAGCTTCTTCAGAGCTCGGGAGTGGGCTGTTGAGAGCTAAGCCAAACAATTTTTCATGAGGATTTCTCAGATAAAGACAATAAACTTACTGACAAAGCAAAAACTAACAATAATTAATAATAATATTCTTGGAAGTGGTCAGACAGAAAAGATGATTTCTAAAGGAAAAACTTAAGAGTTGACTTCTCCCTAGAAAACAATTATCAGAGAGCAATGTAATATTAATAATATCATCAAATGACTTAAAAAGTAACTGCTAGCAGGTGTGGTGGCTCACACCTGTAATCCCAGCACTTTGGGAGGCTGACGTGGGTAGATCACCGGAGGTCAGGAGTTTGAGACTAGCCTGACCAACATGATGGAACCCTGTCTCTACTAAAAATACAAAAATTAGCTGGGCATGGTTGTGGGTGCCTGTAATCCCACCTACTCGGGAGGCTGAAGCAGGAGAATCATTTGAACCTGGGAGGCGGAGAGTGCAGTGAACCAAGATCACGCCATTGCACTCCAGCCTGGGAGACATGAGTGAAACTCCATCTCAAAACAATATGAATAACTAAATAAATAAATAACTGCTAGCTTAGAATTTCTTACCTAATAAAAATATCTTGGCCAGGCAGGGTGGCTCACGCCTGTAATCCCAGCATTTTGGGAGGCCAAGGCGGGCAGATCACCGGGTCAAGAGATCAAGACCACCCTGGCCAACATGATAAAACACCATCTCCACTAAAAATACAAAAATTAGCTGGGCTATTTTTTTCATTAGCTGGGTGTATCTGAGCACCTGTAATCCCAACTACTGGAGGGGCTGAGGCAGGAGAATCACTTGAACCCAAGAAGCGGAGGTTGCTGTGAGCCAAGATTGTGCCACTGCACTCAAGCCAGGCAATAGAGCGAGACTCTGTCTCAAAAACAAAAAAAAAAAATTCCTTTGAAAAATAAAGGTAAAAGACATTTTAGATAAACAAAAACTGGGACAATGTTTCATCAGAAGATTCACAATAAAGGATAAGAAGCCCTTCAAACAGAAGTTTCTTATAAATCTTTTCAAAGACAAACTTTTGACTGTATTACTCCCAACTGGCAAATATTCATATTCATATTCTATTTCATTTGTTTCTGCTTAAGGATTCCAGTAGAGAGAGAGAGAGAGAGATCAATAAGAAAAAGACAATGACCATCAATCAACAAGTGGATAAAGATACTGTGGTATATCTACACGATAGAATACTACTCAGCCACAAAAAGGAATTTATTAATGGCATTCATAGGAACCTGGATGAGACTGGAGACTATCATTCTAAGTGAAGTAACTCAGGAATTGAAAACCAAACATTGGGTTGGGCACGGTGGCTCACATCTGTAATTCCAGCACTTTGGGAAGCTGAGGCAGGTGGATCACGAGGTCACTCGGTCTCTACTAAAAATTCAAACATTTGCTGGGTGTGGCAGCGTGCACCTGTAGTCCTAGCTACCTGGGAGGCTGAGGCAGGAGAACTGCCTGAACCCAGGAGGCAGAGGTTGCAATGAGCTGAGATCATGCCACTGCACTCCAGCCTGGGTGACAGAGTGAGACTCCATCTCAAAAAGAAAAAAAGAAAACCAAACATAGTATGTTCTCACTTATAAGTGGGAGCTAAGCTATAAGGATGCAAAGGCATAAGACTGACACAATGGACTTTGGGGACTTGGGAGAAAAGGTGGGAAGGGGGTGAGGGATAAAAGTCTACAAATTGGGTGCAGTGTATACTGCTCAAGTGCCAAGTGCACCAAAATCTCACAAATCACCACTAAAGAACTTACTCATGTAACCAAATACCACCTGTTCCCCAGTAACCTATGGAAATTTAAAAAAAATTTTTTAATATAATTTTAAAATAAGAAAAAGGCAAACAAGTTTTTTAATGGACAAAAGACATGGACAGCCACTTCTCCAAAGAATATAACCAATGGCCAAAAAACATAAGGAAACAAGCTTAACATTATTAGTCATTAGGAAAAAAAATACAAAAATAGGCCAGGGAAGGTGGCTCACGCCTATAATCCCAGCATCTAGGAGGCCAAGATAGTTGGATTGCCTGAATTCAAGACTTCAAGATCAGCCTGACCAGCAAAACCCTATCTCTGCTAAAAATGCAAAAATTAGCCAGTCGTGGTGGCACATTCATGTAGTCCCAGATACTCAGGAGGCTGAGGCACAAGAATCAGTTGAACCTGAAAGGTGAGATCACACCACTGCACTTCAGCCTGGGCAACAGAGTGAGACTCTGACTCAAAATAAAAAATAAAAATAAAAAATAAATAAACAGGATATCACTATGCACACTATACACCATTATGACTGATGATATCAAGTGTTAGTAAGCACATAAAGCAATGACTTCTCAGATTATGGCAGAGATGTAAAACAACCCCTTGGAAGCCTGGCAGCTTCCACTAAATCTAAAAGTATGTATCCCCAATGCATGAATACCCAATTACTCAGAAATTTCACTAATAGGTATATTCCCAAAGGGAGAAATATGTGTGTGTGTGTGTGTGTGTGTGTGTACACTAGGGCTTTCCTCATATAGCATAGAGCAACTGATTTAGGAAAAATATATCCCTACAGCTCTATTTATTTGCTGAACTTATACTGCAAGTGAGGTAGAAGCCAGAGTAGTTTTCAGGTGGTACTGCATGCAGAAGCTCTTATTCAGATGCCTGTATCCTAACAGAACAGGATGCAAAGCATTTAAGGAAGTTGACTGATTGCAGTACATCCTGAGTAACTGCACTCTAAAGAATATCCTGAGACAACAGATGTTGGAAAGGATGTGGAGAAAAAGGAAAGCTTTTTCTGTTGGTGGTGGTGGTGGGTATATAAATTAGTTCAACCATTCTGGAAGACAGTGTGCAAATACCTCAAGGACCTAGAACTAGAAATACCATTTGACTCAGCAATCCCATTACTGGGTATATACTCAAAGGATTATAAATCATTCTATTATAAAGACACATGCACACATATGTTTACTGCAGCACTGTTCACAATAACAAAGACTTGGAACCAGCCCAAATGCCCATCAATGATAGACTGGATAAAGAAAAATATACACCATGGAATACTATGCAGCCATAAAAAAGGGTGAGTTCATGTCCTTTGCAGGGACATAGATAAAGCTGGAAACCATCATTCTCAGCAAATTGACACAAGAACAGAAAACCAAATACCACGTGTTCTCACTCATAAGTGGGTGTTGAACAATGAGAACAGATGGACACAGGGTGGGGAACATCACACACCAGGTCCTGTCAGAAGGTAGGGGATAGGGGAGGGATAGCATTAGGAGAAATACCTAATGTAGGTGACAGGGTGATGAATGCAGTAAACCACCATGGCACATGTATACCTGTGTAACAAACCTGCACATCTGCATATGTACCCCAGAACTTAAAGTATAAGTAAAAAAAAGAAGAAGAAGAAGAATGTCCTAATGGTCTTCATCTAAATAGAGTTCCCTGGCCTATTTTAATTTGCACCGGAAAGTTTTAAATAATAAAATTGACCTCAGTGAATGGAAGCATTACCAACTAGAGAAGGCTGTGGGCTTATTCAAGTCGCTCCTAAAACTTGAACAGGATCGTGTCAGACTTTCAGGAAAGAAAGGCCAACACATGGGCCACATGGTGAGTGTTAATTATCTTGGTTCATTCTCTCCCATGTCATTTTCTCATCTTAAATTACAAACTACAACTGACACCACTCACTCTGACAATGCATTTCCCCAACCAGCCACCGTAAATCTTCTCCACATCTGGCCACTGGGTTTCCAACAAGAGAGTATCCTTCATTGCAAGTGTACAGTACATTTTTCCCCACAGGAAATGTTGTACCTTCATCCTAAACAAAAATAAAAGATGGAAAGGGAAAGAGTTTGTCTATTTTGCATGAACAAAAGGTTTCTTTACATATATTTGGCCTATGAATCACATTTTCTTTTCATCATCAGGCAAGCTACATTTAAATAACTGATTTAGAAAAGTGTCTGTAAAAACATTTTCCCCTATATAGTCAATAACACTAGTACCACCATGAACTGAAATAGAACTATTATTGCCACTGTCTATTACGTATTGATTGCCCCCAAAATACCAAGTACTATACTAAGCATTCTACTAAAATCACTTTACGCTGTCCAAATAATTTATTTTCCTTTTAGGAAAAATCAGTTCTTTATCAGATTTGGGGAACATCTTTGTCAGTCAACTCTTCATATTAAGGTATTATTGGGCTGGGCTCAGTGGCTCACGCCTGTAATCCCAACACTTTGGGAAGTTGAGATAGGTGGATCACCTGAGGTCAGAAGTTCAAGACCAGCCTGGCCAACATGGCAACACCCTGTCTCTACTAAAAATACAAAAATTAGCTAAGCGTGGTGGTGCATGCCTGTAGTCCCAACTACTCAGGAGGCTGAGACACAAGAATAGCTTGAACACGGGGAGCAGAGGTTGCAGTGAGCCAAAATAGCGCCACTGCACTCCAGTCTGGGTGACAAAGCAAGACTCTCTCTCTCTCTCAAAAACAAAACAAACAACAACAACAAAAAAAAACAATGTATGAGCTGTTCATTGGCAATACTGCCTACAAAATGGCAGCATGAACAGTCAGAAATTTTCCAATCCAATCAGTCTGCTCATGAAAGTTTAAGTTATGCTCGCTGATAACTTTTAGGGGAAGCATAATGTTGATCTTCCCCCATCCTACCCTCCCACTCCACGCTGTATATATGGAATGCTGCTGGGGTGGGTCAGATTCAGGAAAGTTTCATTAGCCTGTAATGCTGGGAAGTGAGCTTTCATGGTGAAGCAAGGAGGAATTTGAAGTCTGAGCCTGTGGGTGGATGAAGGGTAATCACACTCATTCGGGGTCTCTCTTGGTTCCTTTCCTTACTCTTCTCATTCTCTTCCACCCAAGGGGATGGTGAAAAAACTCATGCTTGGGAAAGGGCTTAGAGCTGATGCCTAAACCAGCTCTGCTCTAGGGATTAGAACAAGATTTCCTGGTATCTCCTTCCCACTGTCGTGCTGCACGTCCTGGCCCAGTCTGGCTCTATCATGGAAGTTGGTAGGAAACAGAGGGCCCAGGTTGATGCTGAGGTTTGGGGGAAATGGGGAGAGGCACATGTTCTGTTTTGATTCATGATCCTATTCCTTCCTCTACCATGCAAAAAAAAAACTTTTATATGAGGAAGTCTGATTCAACAGGGCACAAATGTGGCTGTATATCATAATCACTTGTAGACATTAAAAAATAAACTCTCAGGCTGTACTCCCAACTTATCAAATCAGAAAATGTAGAGGACAAGGGAGAAACAGCAATCTCAGTTCCCTGAGTAATTGGGATACAGCCAGTCCATAGAGCAATGTTTGGGACTCCTGGCTCCTAAAAGGACACCACACACAATAGAGTGGTGGACAGCAGCTTCATGGTTTGCTAATGTGCATGAGTTTGCTTGGCCTGTTTCTCTGAGCGTCTGTTCCATTCAGGAACTCCATGAATTATGGTAACTCTGGTAGGACAGAATGGGTATTAGAGATGTTAGGTTCATTCTCTGTCTCTCTCTGTCTCTCTGTCTCTCTCTCTCTCTCTCTCTCTCTCTCACACACACACACACACACGAGAACACACAACTTTCATCTCCCAATAGTGCCTACATTTACGTTTGGGGAAACCTCAGTAAATTTTCAGTGAACGCATGTTCAAAGGCCTGAGATTTGAAAAGCACAACCCCACATGAGGAAAGCAGGGCAGGTAACAGGGAGCAAGCCCTCATGAATAGCATCCTGTGCGAACCATGAAGACGCACCACTGGGGCTGCAGGTCAAAGCCTCGTCACAACGGCTGAGAGCAGCACTAATTAAAATACCCCAAAAGCCAAGAACAACAACAGTTCCCAGAGTGACAAAAAGCAGGTGACTACTCTTCTTTCCTGAATAGGAAAGTTCAATTGCTCAAAGTAGAATGATCCATATCTCACTAGCCACTAGCTAACTGTCTTATTGACTTCTGGAATAAACCTAACACTTCATCTCAGGGCCTACACTTATGAGGGATAAAAAAAGACTTCTCTCCATGGCAAAAATAAGAGAAGTTCTCTAAGTTAAAGAGCAAGCTTGCAGATTCGGGGTTTGGTGTTTAGGGTGGCAAAGTTCAGTAGCCCTCTGGCATGATTACGTTTCTGAGTCACTGGGCGGCAGCACTGATTTCCCACACCACAGAAGATACACTGTATCTTACAGAATTCAGATCACCTTGGGCCAAGGAAAAAAAGTCACACACTAAAACCCTTACCACTAAAACTAAAATGCACATATAAAATATTTTTAGCATGGCTTCACCATGGAAGAAAAAAATGGATTGAGGGCTCAGTAGAGAGATAGAAGTTGGAGAATTACAAAGGGAAAAAAAAAGCTTTCATAACCAACTTGAACGAATCCATCTTTCAAGGCAGGAGGTGATGGACAGAATTCCGTTGGAACCAAAGACAAAGGAAAGCAATGTGGTTCAAGCATTCTGAAAGGAAAAGAAAAACACATGTAATTAATATGATTGATTTGCACAGTATAACAATTATTTTGCATTACATTGGAGTTCTCCTTTGTATCTGGAGGAACTCCATTTATATAAGTACATTGCTGTGATATTTTTGTCATTCTTAGAACCAAATATCTGCTTACATCCTGTGGTAGAAAACTCAAACACAAACTCAAGCTACCAAAAGACAGTGATTTAAACAGCTGCTAGGTCAGTAGCAAACAGAATGAAAAAAAAGGAAGTCTTAGGCCAACACACTACTTTCTGTTTCTAGAGGTCACCTGTTTCAGAACCTAGTTTTCCTTCTGTTTGGTTCTGAAATTCATTTAACACAGGATTAATTCCGTATTGAAAATAAGATAATTGGGCAAGGCGCAACAGCTCACGCCTGAAATCCCAGCACTTCGGGAGACAAAGGCGGGCAAACATCCTGAGGTCAGGAGTTCCAAGACGAGCCTGGCCAACAAGGTGAAACCCCATTTCTACTAAAAATACAAAAATTAGCCAGGCATGGTGGCAAAAACACCTGTGATCCCAGCTACTTAGGAGGCTGAGGCAGGAGAATCGTTTGAGCTTCGGAGGCGGAGGTTGCAGTGAGCTGAGATCGCGTCACAGCATTCCAGCCTGGGTAACAGAGTGAGACTCCAACTCAAAAAAAAAAAAAAAAAAAAAAAAAAAAAAAGAAGATGGTAATTAGAGTTAGTGACCTCAAGAGAGGTAACACAAAATTATAACTACCTTTTACTAAGCATTTACTATGTGTCAGGCACCATGGCAGTTGCTCTGCATACATACATTATCTCAATTCATACAGCAACACCATGGGATACATGGAAAAAACAATGGCAGGGAAAATTTGAATAATTTGTCCAAGATTATAATAACTAACAAATACCAGAGCTGGATTTACGTCTAGTCAATTAGGCTCCTACAATTGTACACCTTCTACCTCTCACAAGGCAATAGAGGGAATAGGAAGTCTTAGTGTTTTTTCTGAACATGGATAACTGATAGCATGTTATTTGGTGAAAGCAAGTTTTAATAAGGCTTGGAGTAAGGATCTTAAACCTAAAAGGAAGATGGGAGAACAGAAGTCCTAATATCATCCCACAAGTGCCAATCCTGACACTTTACCGTCACCATGACCATCTCTTGGGGCAGCTTGTAATTATGATAATGATGTCATCTGTCATTAAACAATGGTTTTCAAGACTGTCTCGAAGGTCAAAATAACACCAATATTACCTCCACTCCAGAGACACAAAACCTGAGAGAAAGCAGTACAAACAGCCTGGGAGTGTTGCCTCCTTCTCAGCTGAGTTCCTTATAATATTGCCACACTTTGAGGAAACTGTGGCAAGTTGAATTTTCCTATTTGTACCGAGGAGGAAGACACTCCCCTCCCCTGAGCACCAAGAGTGAAAATCTCTTCAATGCCTTTCTTAGGATGCACCTCTCCTCCTAGCTTTATGTTGAAAAACAGGAAAAATCGCATCCTCTTAGGCAGAGTCCTCCTCCCAGACCCTCATCCTCCCAGAAACGTGCACAGCAGCCAGCACCCTCTTCCCACTAGCATTCATATGCTTGCCAACTTCCTCAGTCAAGAGATACTGATTAACGCCGGGTTACAAGGCACCAAAGACAGAGTTAAGGCTTCCCACCTCCCTATGCTTCTACCAGATAGCCAAGCACCTCATCTCTTTCTTCAACTCACATGACCTTTAAATTATCTTGCTAGAACATTTTGCCAAGTGCAGTTAGCAAAAATTACTAAGGACAATGTAAAACAGAGTGTGGCATAAAGAATTCTGACCCAGTGGTATGATTCTTCAATTGAGCATTTTTGAGATGGCTTTTGCAGGGTCCTGACAAATGGGAAATTAGTGCCGGGCTACTGGGTTCACCTGCCAAGATATTCCCCATCTCAAGAATCTGGCTCTATGCTTAATCCAAAAGATGAGTAAGAATGGTATATCTGAAAAGTAATACAATCTTTACTGAATGCTTAGTAATCACTTTAATTCTGAAAATAACAATAAACAGATAATCTTATTATCAGTATACCTACTATTATCATTCTAATTTTAGAGACGCGGCCAGTAACTTGCCCAAGGTCATACAGCCTGTAGGTGGCAAAAACGGATAATCATATCCACTCAGGTGTACTACTCCCAATTACCCAGCCTTTTGTCACACTTGTGTCAGGAAAACCTGAAGCACACAGAGCAAGCTCCTTCAACTCTCCTTGGTACTACGGGACAATGCAGTCCCTGGAAAAGCAGCCATTTAGCTTCCAAATCTCTTGACAGCAGCAATCGTGTGTTCCACACTAACTGCAGACGGCACTGTATTCTGTGCAACTGCCAGGGGTCGGGACTCCATTACCTCAAGTGCTCCAGCTCCTCATCTTCACATTGCGTGCTTTCTGTTGTTTCTCCAATGCAGGATCTCCCACCCCCACTGGGAGGAGGGTTATTGCATTCTCGACTTCTTGTTTTCTTCCCTTGAACACAGGGGCTCCAAGAGGACCAGCAACTCCAACCTCCATCAACCCCTCCTACAAGATGAAAAAAGAGGTTGTCCAATAAGTTCTTAAAGAGGAGGACTTGGGAGCTTAGTGCTGTGCTTCCTGCTGACAAGTTAACTGGAGGAAGAGATCATTCTAGATATCGATTACCTTCACTCTTCATTGAGGTTTTCTACAATGCTCAGAATGGTTCTGCACACAGACTAGCAATGTCCATGTTACAGTTGCATTAGTGAACCTCTTGCAATAATATCTTTAATTTGTTGATTATTTTACAACTGTTTCAAAGCACTTTCACGTACATTGTATCATTTATTTACTTCTCACAACAGTGAATGCAGGCGGGCAGGAAGTTTGTTACCATTCTATTTAGACAGCAGGAGGGGGTGGTTCCACTTTAATGGATAAGGGGAAATCCAAGCCACAAAGGAATGAATCACACTGGTAGAATTTTAATTTACCAGAACAGGCCACTTGGAGAAACATTTGGGAATAAGGATGCCTTCATAATTCTTGTCTATAAGCATCTATAGTTTAGTTTTATATTTATTCATTTATCATTTATTTAGTGACTTCTATGAATCAAGCCTTTGTCAAACTCTGGGAATAAAGAAAGGAATCAAACAGCCTGAGATTCAGTAATGAGCTTTCTAAAAGAGACAGACATGGAAATAAACACAGAAGCAAAAGTATACAGACTGTGGTCATACTTTGACTACTCATAAAGTCAATTTCACATAGCCCTGTACTAAGTGCTTGAAGCATCATACACACTGTAGAGCACACAGCAGATGTTCAATAAATATTTGTGAGTGATTGATAGTACATCATACAGAATAGAAACACCAACATTTCAAAGAGCATGCCATCAGAAAGTTTAGGCAATGCAAATACACAAGTTCCGTAGACCTTTGATACAGCAAAATCTTATTGAGATAATTACAGAGGATGGAAGGTGTTTCAATCATAACTCTATTCTAATAGAGAATGAGGAGTGGAGGGCACAGTGGGGCTGTTAGTTCAGATGGATAAATAGAGATAACAGCAAAGAGCCTTAACCTTAGTAGCTACAACCTGAAAGTGGGGAAGGGAGGGAAGATTCTAAATTCATATGAGACTTCATGTCTCCATACACAAAGAAGCATCTCAAGGAGCAGACAGACAGGGTAATTCCCTTTCAATGTGTACAGGGTGACTAGAGAAAATTCACCCCACTGACCTGCTTGATTCCCTACGAGGACTCCTTTCTCACATGCTGCACCAAATGTGTATGGTTTGCAATGGCACACACAATGGGTCCCCTCAACGGTGGCCAAGCCACCATTTTGACAAGGCTGGCAATGACAGGGGTCAAATTCATCCAGATACTCTTCAAGAGCCCGTTTCAGGTATAGTTTTTTCACAGAGGCACAAGGTACTTCCTTTACCAGTTCATATAAAGGTGTCAGCTATAGAGATAAAGACATCATAGTGACTAATCAGGGATTTAGGCAAGAATATTTTGCTTTTCATGTTTAGGGTCAACTCTCATTAAAACAACATCAAAAGCCACGGGTAAGTTTGTTACAATTGTTTGTTATTCAAATACAAAAGAAAACAGTGCACTCTCCTTGCAACCAAATCAAGACAAATTTAGGGAAAACTAGGATCAGATAGGGGAAGAATTTTTTTATATTTTTTGCGCATGCATAAAATTAAAAAAAAAGACATTCATTTTCTAGTTAATGAAGATTATTTTGAAGATAATACATTACCATCCCTATTGAAGACACAAGAAGAGTAAATGTACTTCAATTACAGCAAAGAAGCAAGTGAAATTAAATTTAGAATTAAATTTCCTGACTGAGAGATTTAACATGTCTCTTAGTGGAAATTATGGATTCTTTCCTCATGGAGAAATTTAAAACAGGTAAACATTATTACTTTGTGTTGGATATTTCAGAAGAAAAGCAACTTTGAAATCACAGATGTACTGACTCAACTTTAACAGTCTGCTCTCTCAGGAACAAAAACATCTCTGTTTTGTAGCATTTGTCAGTTTCTGCAGTGTAGCTACTCTCACCATATCCAATTCAGGCTGCCACCACGATGCCTGAAGTGGGAAGAGATATGCACCATTGGTTCCTGAGAGCCCGAGCTCTTCTGAACACGACGGCTTTGCATTGCCATATACCTGTACCTGCATAGTGCCTTTCCTTTCTCTGTTCCTTTTTTGCCCTGCTAAAAAGTTAGCACAACTATGATAATTTACAATCCTGTGTGCAAAAGTGCATAGAGACTGTTGAAGAATGTCTGCTTTTCTCTAACCAATAATTTAGCATTTCTAAAGATTTGTATGGGATGCTGACAATGCATACAGGCCATTTTGAATATTAATAGATGGTCCTTTCAGATAAGACTTTCTAGGAAAAACTCACCCTCCCTCCCTCATTTGTATTTGGAAGCCAATGGGTACTGTATGGTGTTAGGAGGGGACTTGAGGACCTATTGCAATTTTTGTGTTTATAAAATGTATCTCTGAAAATCAGGCTTTGCCTGGGACATCGTTTGACTTTCATGCAGGGAATGGATTATAGAATCAGTTCTGCTATAATATTTGCGTTGAAAAGGTGAATTTATTCCACTGAGATTGATATAATGGGAAAATTTTGAGCATGGGGTTTTCTTAGGTACAATTTTGTCCACATGAAACACAGGATCAACACAAAAAGCTTCACACACCTGAAACAAGCCATATAGGAATATACAAAACTCACGCGTATGCATGTGCATGCACACACACACACATGCACGCACATTCACACACCCCTCAGCATCTATGTCAGTTCATTTCCTGCATTATAAACTATACCTATCCATATCCACTATTACAAATGTCTGGCAGGTTTCTAACTGCTGTCCTTCTACTACTTCACAGTAACTTACAAGTCCTAACCCTTCCAGCACCTAGAAAGCTTCCGGTCTTTTTCTAGGTAATTCGCCACAATTATTGTACTACAGATACAGTTTTTTTTCAGATGGAGTCTCATTCTGTCGCCCAGGCTGGAGGGCAGTGGCGTGATCTCAGCTCACCGCAACCTCCACCTCCTGGGTTCAAGTGGTTCTCCTGCCTCAGCCTGCTGAGTAGCTGGGATTACAGGCGCACCACCAGGCCCAGCTAATTTTTATATTTTCAGTAGAGACGGGGTTTCACCACGTTGGTCAGGCTGGTCTTGAACTCCTGACATCGTGATCCGCCCACCTCAGCCTCCCAAAGTGCTGGAATTATAGGCGTGAGCCACTGCATCCAGCCACATTTTTAAATAATTTAACATGCATAAAGCCATGTGGCTATTTTTATTGGCACCTATCTTTTTCATATCAGTGTAACAGATGATAAATTTGAGTGCTGTGTCTCTAACCTGATTTTTTTCCATGAGCCCTTTATTGTGCAATTTTGCGTAGCCCAGTGATTTTTAGAAACACATATGTTGCGTATAAAAGAACTGAGGATAACAATAAAACATCTTTAAAAAATTCTGCCAGCCAACTTGGTACTATCCTGATTTGCATGATTTCAGGAGCCCACAAGGCACAGCTACACAAAGAAAGGTGATGGGAACGTAACAGAAGGCAAACCTACATGCCTTCCCCTTGCAAGAATCTGTAACTCCTCTGACTTAGAGACGAAGGAAAACATAATCAAACAGATCAAAAGTTAAACATGCAAATTTTGTCATTAATTTATCTTGGAAGTTGCAAGACATTTAATGTTTGCCACTAAAATACAAATATAACACACCTTCTGCTTCTTCTTATGTGTGCATTCATTTTACTCTACAAAATATAATTGGGACACAGAAATGCTAATTACAGCCATGTATTTATTTAGCCTCTTGATTTAACCACCTTCATTTTCCTCATGCAAATAAACATGACTGCTTCCCTATAGCATTAAACAAAGCCTCACATACCTTTTGTTTTATGACTTGAGGAAGATTAGTCACAGATTCTGCCCAGGAAGAATATCGTCTTTTGTTTCCAGCAGGGTTGTCTAGCTCTAGGTAACTAAGGCCGGATACAAAGCCCGCAGCTCCCCCTCTGACAAAGGGGTCTCCTCGCATCACATTGCCGCCAGTTCCTATATAGAAGAAAACAAATGAAAAGTGAAAAATCTATCAAGCATTAAAAAGTAATCTATCAAACTGCATGACATCCTGGAAAAAGCCAAACTATGTAAACAGTCAAAAGATAAGCTGTGGTCAGGAAGAAGGGAGGGATGAATAGGAATAACCCAAATGATATTTAGGGCAGTGACACTGTTCTATATAATACTACAATGATGGGCACATGTCATTACATATTTGTATAAATTATACAAATATATACATTATATATTTAATGACAAAAGTCATTAAATGTTCAACACCAAGAGTGAACCCTAATGTAAATTATGGACTTTGGATGACAATGTGTCAACGTAGATCCATCCATTCTAACCAATACTCTACTCTGATAAGGAGTGTTGATCGTGGGGAAGGTTTTACCTGTATAGGAGCAGGGGATATACAAGAACTCTCTGTACTTTGCACTCAGTTGTGCTATGAACCTAAAACTGCTCTAAAAACTAAGGTATATGTATTTTGTTTTTTGATGGTTTTCTTTTTTTTTTAAGACAGTCTCACTCTGTCGCCCAGGCTGGAGTGCAGTGACATGCTCACTGCAATCTCCGCCTCCGGGGTTCAAGCGATTCTCATGCCTCAGCCTCCTGAGTAGCTGAGACTACAGGTATACGCCACCACACCCAGCTAGTTTTTATATTTTTAGTAAAAATGGAGTTTCACCATGTTGGACAGGCTGGTCTCGAACTCCTGGCCACAAGTCATCTGCCCGCCTCAGCCTCCCAAAGTGTTGGAATTACAGGCGTGAGCCACTGCACCCAGCCAAAGCTAAGGTATATTTTTAAAAAAGAAAAAGACTCTTGCCTGACAGTAGATGATATTAGGGAATTATTGCTCATGTTCTTTATATTTTTAGTGTAATAGAGTATCACATTATGCAAGACAATGTTCTTCTTAGATGATACATGCATATATTTAGGGATGAAGTATTATGATATCTGAAACTTACTTCCAAATAAATAGTTCAGCAAATAAAATACTTTAAATACATAGTACTTAAAAGAATCAGTCAATATTATAAATATTATATGTACACATATTTAGTAAAATTACAAAATAATAATTGTACATAGGAAATTGGCATATCGATATTTATTACTATGTTCTTATCTATATGTTTTAAATTTTTCATAATAAAATATTGGAGGGAAAACAGGTTCTTGCAGCTGGTATAATAATGAATAAAATAAGCTGTTAATTAACAGGAATCCATTACTTAACACATGAAACAAGTTCTGAAAAGTATGAAATGCTAATTGAATTCTTTTTTCTATTTATGTGCCTCATAATTTTAGAAATACTTTATCTCCATTTGTAATGGTTTTTACACAGGTCATGACAAGAATTTTCCAACTTTGCTGATCGGATTTTGAGTGGTTTTCATTTCCTTGTAACTGTCCAAATTTTGCAATTTCATAAAATGAGCATATTGTACTCATATTCAGAAATCATTAAAGCCTGATAGTGTGGGGTTTTTTTGCTTTTTTATCTTTTATTTATACACAATAATGGTACATATTTATGGGATGCATGTGATATTTTGTTACATGCATAGAATCTGTAATGATCAAATCAGGGTACTTAGGATATCCATGACCGTATCATTTGTTTGTGTTGGGAACATTTCAAATCTTCCATCTATTTGAAAATGTACAATAAACTTTGTTAACTCTAGCCACCTGACTATGATCAAACACTAGAATTTATTCCTTTTTTTTTTTTCTTTTTTTTGAGACGGAGTCTCACTCAGTTGCCAGGCTGGAGTGCAGTGGCACAATCTCGGCTCACTGCAACCTCTGCCTCCCAGGTTCAAGAGATTCTCCTGCCTCAGCCTCCTGAGCAGCTGGGACTACAGGCGTGGGCCACCACACCCAGCTAATTTCTGTAATTATAATAGAGACGGGGTTTCACCATGTTGGCCAGGAGGGTCTCAATCTCTTGACCTCATGATCCACCCACCTCAGTCTCTCAAAGTGCTGGGATTACAGGCATGAGCCACCGCACCTGGTCGAATTTATTCCTTTTACTTAACTATATGTTTATACCCATTAAGCAGCCTCTCTTCATTGACCCCCCCCAGCCTCCGATAATTATCATTCTACTCTATCTTCATGAGATCAACTTCTTCAGCTCTCATATATAAAAACATGCAATATTTGACTTTCTGTGCCTGTAAATCCTGATAGTTTTAGCAAATTACCTGATGTTTCCTCATCTTCATTGCTAGCTGTGTTTTAAATATACAGATAGTCACCCTTTTTAATTCAGTGTATCACAAAGTCTCATCCCTGTATTACTGAATCACAATCATCTGAGGGGAATATAGACTTCTTAGTCCCCACCAAGACCTACAAGAGAATATCTGAGAGAATGAACAACCTTTGGAATCAGCATTTTAAGAGGATCCCCCAGGTAATCCTCATGCATACTAAAGTTTGGGAATCACTGCCTTAACCAGCACACCTGTAACTTAAGAATTACAGATTCGAAGAAATCCACTAATTTATGTTTAAGGTTTTAGCCTTCCTTTCCATACCCCAGTGAGCTCTCTGTTCCAGCTAACTTTTTTCCTAGAAAAAGCAGCCCAGTGCAACAGTGAAGGCTCCAGACTGTGAAGCCAGATTTTATGCATTTGCATTTCATATCTAATTCTTATTCTATAATCTTGGTCAACATTTCTGGGCCTTAGTGTCCCCAAAATGTGAATAATACTTAACACTAAGGTAGGAAGAGTATGTTGGTTAATTTTTGTAAATCACTTAAAATTGTGCTGGCACATAGTAGGTGCTCTGTGTTTGTTACCTATGAAATAAAATAAAATTGGTAAGCAGCTTCCAACTGCCAGATCATCTGAGAACTGATGTCAACATTTTCTCAAAGTTTTTACTTTCATTTCTATGTTCAGATTATTATTTTTCCACTTTATTCAAAAACTTTTCCTCCTCGGATATGTCAACTATATGAAGACAAGCACTTTCTCTGGCATATTCACGGCTATATCTTGAGTGTCTAAAACAATTCCTGGCACATACACAGACTCCATAAATAGTGGATTAATGAAGAAAGTGAATGAGTACCTAAACCTGGTTTTTCTACTCATCTCCCTCCTTCTTGTACTAATCTACCAATATCCCAAGAATCCCTGCTTCTTCACTGAGAACCATGACACATGGGTCGATGTTCACCTGTGCCATTACCCCAAGAGGATTTCGGCTCTGATACTGCTCAGTCTATGGCCTCACGAATATGGCCTCTTCCCTTGCAATCAAACAGGCCTTGTCTTAACGAGAGTCGCAGTTGCTTTGTGCAACTGAAGAGCTTTTCTCTTTGGGAAGATTGCATGAAGAAAGCATCCATGATAAAGGATCCATGACAAAAGTATCTTAGGTATCTCCAAGCCTTAATTTAGTCATAGCAACATTTTTCATTTTCTTTGCAGGTGAAAGTAAATAGTGATTTTAATTATGAACTCTGTAATAGTACTGCACTGCAGTCTCACTTCCATCCCTACCATACTATGGAATCTTTTCCTTTAACAGCAACTTTTTTTTTAAAACCTTTATTCTAGATTAATGAGGTGCATGTTCAGGTTTGTTACCTGGCTGTATTATGTGATACTGAGGTTTGGAGTATGATTGATCCCAACGCCCAGGTAGTGGCTATAGTACTGAATCGTTTTTCAACCCTTGACCTCTCTCTTCCTCCCCTCCTTAGCAGTCCTCAGTGACTATTGTTGCCATTTTTGTAACCATGAGTACCCAATGTTCAACTCCCACTTAAAAGTAAAAACATGCACTATTTGGTTTCCTGTTTCTGCTTCTGCACAACAAAGGAAACTATCAATGTGCAACAGACAACCTACAGAATGGGAAAAAATATTTGCAAACTATGCATCTGATAAAAGTCTAATACTCAGAATCTATAAGGAACTTAAACAACTTACCAAGTAAAAAAATAAATAACCCCACTAAAAATGGACAAAAGGCATGAACAGACACTTCTCAAAAGCAGCAACCAAGTCTTAATCACCAAATCCAATGAACATTTTTCGGTCGTTATCTTACTTGACTTCTGTCTAGTATTTCACTCTGTTGACCTCTCTCCTCCCTTACTTTCCATCTCTTGTTTTTTTATGCTCCCAAATTTTTCCTTCTCCATTCTTCTTTATTCTCTACAACTTTACTTAGGTAATCTTTTATTTAATCACTCCATGTGTTAAATCTATTAATGGCATCCTCTAGCCATCAGAATAAAATCCAAACTCCTTAACATGGTACCTTCATAGTCTAGATCAGTTTACCCTTTCAGTCCTTCTTCAATCACCTGAAGACTAACACACCACCTTCCCCCCATCTCCACTGCCAACCAGCATGAACCAAAAACCTGACCTCCATAGAGTATTCATGTCAGCAGGTGAAACTGAATCTTCTCTTGATATTGACACTTGTCTAGGCTTGTTTGCCAATCATCACAAGGGAGGAATCTGCTGTACACTGATTACATATTTATAATACAGAGGATATAACCTAGTGAACTCCCTAGTCTGTGTGATATCTCAGTACCACAACATATGAAAGAGAGATCAGAGGCAAAAAAATTACCAAATAGATTTTTAAAAACACAGAGTAGAACACCTGTTAAAGCCTCGAAAGCCCTTAGAGATCAAGAATGAACCACAGAAGAGTGGAGTAGAGGTTAAGCTTGTAATTATTCACAATAGCAAAGACATGGAATCAAACAAAATGCCCATCAATGATAGACTGGATAAACAAAATCTAGTGCATATACACCATAGAATAATATGGAGCCATAAAAAAGAATAAGATCATGTCCTTTGCAGTGACATGAATGGAGCTGGAAGCCATTATCCCTAGCAAACTGACATGGGAAAAAAAAACTAAACATTGCATGTTTTGACATATATGCAGGAGCTAAATGATGATAACATATGGAAATAGGGAGGAGAACAAAACACACTGGGGCTTTTTGGAGAGTGGAGAGTGGGAGGAGGAAAAGATCAGCAAAATTAGCTAATGAGTACTAAGCTTAATGCCTGGGTGACAAAATAATCTGTACAAAAAAGCCCCATGACACAAATCTACCTATATAACTTCACATGTACCCTTGAACTTAAAATAAAATTTTAAAAAGAGGTTAAGCTTGCAATGCAAATTGCTCTTTTCATTTACCTGAATCAGATTTAAAAGCATCTTCCATTTCCTTGCATTTATGTCTTGATGAAGAAAATAAAAATTTCCAACCTGAGGATTTACAGTTTTTTCCTTCTGCTGAACCAAAATCTGGGGGAAAAAATGTAAAAGAGACATATTTAATTTCTGCATTTCTTGAAGATCTTCATATATGAGAGTAGGGATAAGAGGTTGTTTCTGGCTACTATGGCCATCTAATCAAGAGTGACATAATATGAATATTTTCAAGTACTCTAGAAGAGTTAAGGATCAGAATAAAGGTATTTGACTTTTGTTATTTTCCTTCTATTAGCTTCAGTCACAGAGGGGAGACCAGGGGGATTTCTACATAAAATAATGCAGGGAGTAGAAACTGAACACCGTAAAGAGTATCTTTTACCCATTTACAGTCGGCTTCTTAGGCACAAAATAAATCCATAAAAGTAGAAGTGTGACAGCTTCTTCCAGCAAATCTACTTAAGACTGCCAAAGCTGGCTTTGGTTTCTACAGGAATTAACTCCTAAAACTCAAGTTCTACTGGCTCAATCTCTCCATCTTCAACATCTGTGACTTCCAATCTCCTTCTCATGACTCATAAACTTAGAATGTGATCATTTCTACTCATTATCCAGTGCAGTTTTTCCAATGCATTTTTTAAAAGTATGATAAAAAATAATAAGATGTGAAAATATATTTTCTCATTTTACTAACTATATTATAATAGCCTTAATGTTTCTTAGAGACCAATTATTTGGGGCATACATTATATCCCAGAAGTTTTGATTATATTTAAATAAAAATTTTGGGAAAAACATAAACTGCTCAAGAATAAAATTTTTACTGAAAAATATAATTTTACCAGCTTGGAAAGTTTTTTTAATCCTCTCCATTTCTTTTTAGTGCAATAAAAAGAAGTAAAACTGAATTTAGATCAAACTACTTGCTAGATTGATTCTCCAAAGAAATAGTGTCCTCATCTTTGCTATAAAAACCTAAACTTGTGCACTCATTTCCAACCTGTAAGATTTGAAAAGATCAAATTCCAGTTAAAATTTATGTGGTAGAGACCTATAAAGAAATAGCTCAATGGAAACAGAAAAAAAAAATTATAGTTTACCCATTTAAAAAGCTACAAGACTTCCTCTGAATCTTATGTAAGAGGTCTTATTCTTCTCCAAGGTTGTAACAGAATCTTTTCTGAAGAGTAAGACCTTGAAGAGGGGTTTGGAATAGAGAAGGACATGTGGGCATCTGCTACAAGACAAAGTTGGGAAAAAATTTGGACTTAGAACATTAGTAAGCCTATGGGTGTGGCGGTGTGTGCCTGTAATCCCAGCTACTCGGGAGGCTGAGACAGGAGAATCGCTTGAACCACGGAGTCAGAGGTTACGGTGAGCTGAGATCATGCCACTGCACTCCAGCCTGATGAGAGAGCGAGACTCCATCTCGAAAAAAATTTAAAAATTAAAAATAACTAAAAAATAAAGGACATTAGTAAGCCAAGGCTAGTCTCTGAAGAGGAGGAGTGGATGCTAAGCCACCACCATCCCCTCCCACGTCTGGACAGATAATGAGGATGCTTCTCTCAATATGAAATTATCAAAGCATTAATTCAGAGGCATGTCCTGATTCTAACCAAAATCAGGCAATTTTAGCAGTGACATAACATAAGGAATAAGCCAAACTGACTTTGAGGCCAGTTAGACCCAGCCTTAAATACCCTCCTTACAATTCACTTGACCTTGGATGAGTCTCATAATAGCACTGAGTCTCTATTTCTCAATCTGTGGGACAGAGATTAGAATGCCCATCTCATTGGGTAATAGCAAGAATTACTACTAATACATGAAACTCACTTGTCATAAGGAAGGTATCCAATCAATTTAAGCGATTGTTACAAGTATTAAGTAGTAAATGAATGTGTGATATTCAAATCAGATTTTCTTAAAAGAATGTGAACAGTAAAAAAAACAAAGGTAAATGAAATACTTATTTAAACACTTTGATTTATGAAATATTACTAAATTCCTCATTAGTTTTTCTTGAGAAATACTGTTTAGTCTGAGAAAGGGGAAAGTTTAAAAAGCATTTTAAAAATCCAACCAATACCCTCTGGGGATAGCCAGTAATAACAGTGATTTAGCTCAAGGTACTATCCAAAAGAGTAGACAGGCTTTTCTTAAACCATGTAAGATTTTAAGTACAGAATAATACATTCTTGCAATTTTGGATTCCTTTGCAATTTAAATCTTTATTTGTCAAATTTTAAAGCTCAAAAGCTTACATAAGTACGCGTTATTTCCCCATTAAAATCCCAGATATGCTTTTAGACAACAAATTTTTTAATACTATACCCTTTTGTTTGAGTTTTTCTGAGTCCACATAAAATAGAACTCTGTATTCTCCTCCTAAGGACCCAGATTGCAGATAATGTGTCCCATATTGGTCGATTAGTCTTCGGTAGGCACTGTAGTCATACAGAGAGGGGAGGTGGGAAAGCTCCTTCCAGAATGGCTCAGCAAGTTGTAAAAATTCTGGATTGTTATTAATGAACTGAGCCACTTCAACAGTGTTGTCTACAACCAACAATTGATAACTCTATGGAGAGAAAAAAGAGTACAAGGAGCTTCAGGTGGAAGATAGCAAGGCAATGAAAATAGTTCTCTTTTCAATATCTCCATCAACTTTCACCTCCAATCAACCCAGACTACATTAATTTTTATTTTTGACACATGATGATCACTCCTATGGGCCCACCAACAGGACACAATCAGGAATATGTGGAGTCTCAAATAGTAATAACATCTGAGGAATGGCCAGGCACGGTGGCTCACTCCTATAATCTCGGCACTTTGGGAGGCTGAGGCAGGCAGAGCCCTTGAGGTCAGGAGTTTGAGACCAGCCTGACTAACATGATGAAACCCTATCTCCACTAAAAACACAAAAATTAGCCTGCCATGGTGGCACACACCTGTAATCCGAGCTACTCAGGTGGCTAAGGTAGGAGAATCGCTTGAACCCAGGAGACAGAGGTTGCCTCTGTCTGGTGTGAGCAGTGATCACACCACTAGACTCCAGCCTCGATGACAGAGTGGGACTCTGTATCAAAAAAAAAAAAAAAAAAAACAAATCTGGGCCGGGCGCGGTGGCTCAAGCCTGTAATCCCAGCACTTTGGGAGGCCGAGGCGGGTGTATCACAAGGTCAAGAGATCGAGACCATCCTGGTCAACATGGTGAAACCTCGTCTCTACTAAAACTAAAAAAAATTAGTTGGGCATGGTGGCGCGTGTCTGTAGTCCCAGCTACTCAGAAGGCTGAGGCAGGAGAATTGCCTGAACCCAGGAGGCGGAGGTTGCGGTGAGCCGAGATCGCGCCATTGCACTCCAGCCTGGGTAACAAGAGTGAAACACCGTCTCAAAAAAAAAAAAAGAAATCTGAGTAATGCCATGTTAAGCTACCACCATCCCCTCCCATATCTGGATATATAGTAAGGCCCCTTCTCTCAATATGAAATCAACAAAGTATAGCTTTAGGGTTCAGGATTAATTCAGAAGAATTCAGGATTCTCCTGCCTCAGCCACTTGAGTAGCTGGGATTACAGGCATGTGCCACCATGCCCGGATATTTTTTGTATTTTTAGTAGAGATAGGGTTTCATCATGTTAGCCAGGCTGGTCTCAAACTCCTGACCTCATGTGATCTACTTGCCTCAGCCTCCCAAAGTGCTGAGATTACAGGCAAAGAAATTATATGATAACTTCTTATATAACCTCCAAAACCCCAAGGCCAAGTTGCTATGCTATCTTCAACTAGAAAAAAAGAATCAATCCATCAACTGATAAATATAAATATGTAAAATAATGTGTTCTTATTGTCCCTGTCTTGAAATGACTTGTAGGTATCATTTATCTGCCATGCCAGGGTATTTGCAGGTTAAGCTACTTTATAATGAGGTCTTTTAAACACTTCCTAAGCATCTTTCAATGACATCCAAGACAGATCACAGATCTACTTTTGCCAAACCCCCACCAAGTGAACAACATAATATGGAGACAATAAATGTTTTTACAAATCATAGTTCCACAGTTTCTTAGTCGTAAAACAAAACCAATATTTCTTATACCTTTCTAAGTGATTTATTAATCAAATTACTAACTTTAAGAATGAGATGAAATGTACAGATTGTAAATAATGATCAGCCAAAAAAATTCTTCACCCATAACTCTATATCGATTAGTACAATCCATCTCAACTGTTCAGGTTTCTCAAGAGGAAAGTTTCTGTATTTCCAAACAATGAAGTATTTAAAAATAAGTCTTTTAACTTTCTTAGATAAAAATGTTGGTATCTCAAAAGTAATAAAATGTTTTTAAAGTCTTATATCTTCATGCACCTTCTAAGAAGACTCTAGCATTTGCATTTAAGAAGCATATATAAGCATTAATTAGATTTTTTAAATTGTATATGACACTTAAAATAGTATCACCAGTAATCACAAATAAGAAATTTAAGACCATTTAAAACAGAAGATTTCAAGGTAATAAGGGGTTTGTAAACATTTTCAAATAAAAACAAATACTTTCAAAGAGAAGTTTAAATGTATAAGTAAACATACATATACATATTTTGTTTTTGTTTTTGTTTTTTTGAGGCAGGTTTTCACTCTGTTACCCAGGCTGAAGTGCAGTGGCATGGTATTGACTCACTGCCCCCACTTCCCCCGGGCTCGAGTGATCCTTCCACCTCAGTCTGCTGAGTAGCTGGGACTACAGGCATGCACCACCATGCTTAGCCAATTTTTGTACTTTTAAAGAGACAGGGTCTCACTATGTTGCCCAGGCTGGTCTCAAACTCCTGAGCTCAAGCTCAAGCAATCCATTCACCTTGGCCTCCCAGAGTGCTGGGATTACAGGCGTGAGCCATTGTGCCTGGCCAGTACAACTAAATGTAGTATCAAAGAGATTTAATGAGACAGTATTGTACCTTTTAGAGAAACATATTGTATTGTCTCTTAAAGGTAGTACAATTACTATTACAAATTTTAATATGAAAGTTGATCCTTTTGATTAATACAAGTTTATTAATGCAAGCAACACTTAAAAACAGTAAAATAGAGAAAAGTTAGCTGACATTTTATACTAACCTTTTCTTTATGGATTTCATTGGTATGTGAATGATAACTGTATGAACTAGATGATGAAGAGCTAAAAAGGAAGCGCTTGTTACTAGATGATGTATGTTCGCTTGATGTAGATTTTACATAAGACCAGGTACTATTGTAAAATTCATAATTAAAATCATTATTTACTTTCACCTGCAAAGAAAATGAAAAATGTTTCTATGACTAAATTAAGGCTTGGAGATACCCAAGATATTTCTGTCATGAATCCTTCATCATGGATACTTTCTTGATGCAATCTTCCCAAAGAGAAAAGCTCTTCAGTTGCACAAAGCAGCTGTGACTCTTATTAAGATCAGGCCTGTATGATTACAAGGAAAGCGTTCATTCAATGATTATTTTTTATTAAGCAGGACACATGGTACCAACAATGGCAATTCCAAGTGATTCATGAAACACATTTAGGTACAAACAACTTCTATGTTCCTTTAATGTCAGCATTTGGCCCCGAGGTGAGCAAATTAACAAAAGCTACACTGACAGAGAACTAGAAAGAATTTGGCTCTTGATTTTTCATCTAATAAAGGGGAACAGAGATGCAAATAGGTGATATGAAACAACTCTTTTGAACTTTGTTTTGGAATGTTCTATGTGATCAAGTAGTGGATTTAATTTCTAATTCCGTTTCACTTGGATAAATGCTAAGATTGCATTTTTTCTACGTTAGATAGTAGAAGAAAGGGCCACTCCAAAAGAATTTTAAAGTAGGCAACAAGTTAGTCACATGTAACTAATTGAGAAGTGACAGCTTCAGCTTTTATTGAAGAGGCAATAATCATTTATCCTTTATTTTACTCTAGATCAAGTATGAAAATGAAATGCCCACAGGCGACTGGCAGGTAATATCAATGTTGGAAACCTCCAGTGGACAGCATGGTGACGAGAAAGTGAACACATACCCTGTCTAAAAGGGACACACAACACTCAAATCCACTAGACAGGTTCTGGTATTGACAGATTGTCTGATTTTTTTCAGGAGATAAATTTGAATCTTTATGTAGAAATCTCTTGATTTGTTAAAATTAGAGACAACCAATTTGCTAAAAATGTCAGTCTCTGCAGGAATAAAACAAAATAGGCAAGAAGACTCCCTCTCGCTGTGTCTGTTCTACACAAATATTCAAACTGGGAATCCTCCTTCCACAAGCATTTGTGTTTTTGTTATATATACATACACATCTGTGTTTGGGATCAAAGCATAAGGAGAGAGAAAATTGAACTGATGGAAATGATATACTTTTTTGATAACTAAAAGGAAAGAAAATAATGTTACACAGTCATACTATATGATGCTTACAAAGACATAATATTCATGTTGTCACATTAAATAAGAAAACAGGTATAAGTGTGAAAATGCTATTAACTAAAATCAATCAAGAATATGTCCAGTCAAAAAAGACTAGAAAGAAATACACCAAAATGCCGTAAAATATAATATGACTGTTATCACTACCTTCCATTGAGTATTAGATATGCATGCTAAAAAGATAAGAAAGACAAGAAGATGGATTTAAGCAAATCTTTTATTAGAACATTATTTCCGTTACATTATGAAATTGGTTTGCCTAAAAGTTAAATGCAAAAATTCAGCTTGGGATGGAATGAAAAATATATGTATGTATGTGTGTGTGTGATTATATATAGACACATATGTATATACATATATACACATATGCACACATACACATACATATATATTATTGACTTAAAAAAATTTAGTTTTTTATCTCTTTGGAGAAAGAAAAGTTACATACATTCCTTTCAATGCAAAAAAAAAAAAAAATTAGCCTATTTCCCCCATCTTTATATCCACAATTCAAATATGTGGTTCTTGATTTATGCAAATAAGCCTCTTAGCTGCTTTAGTTCAGCATCTTCTCACTCCTGTCTACCTACACATAGCTGCAAGAATCATCTTTCTCAAAGTGGTGTGGTCTTATTAAATTTTCCTTAATTAATACCCTCCTTCTTCCAGCTTAGATTCTGGATCCTCCAAGACTGATTCTTCCCCTGAAATCCTAAATTCAACCTTCCTACACTCTGACATCTCTTACTCTTTTAACTTTCATTTTATTATTGCCACATCTATTATTTAACATTATAGAAACATGTTCTTGCACTTACTCTCCCTGTTTCTCACCATCAGTACTTTCAGTTATTTCACTTCCTTCGTGGCTCATGACTTCAACCATTCTCTTGCCAATGAATTTAACTTCCTTGCCTAGATGACCTGCTATCACATTTTCCTGGCAAAAACCCAGCCCAGGCTTGCTAGGCCAAGCAGCTTAGCACTACTCTAGCAAATCGCACAACTGTACATATTGGTGCCACTACAAATCCATTTGTGATTTTCAACTTCAGTAGAATCCTCAGTACCATCCAGCAATACTTTATTTCTCTAGTCAGTTCTCTGTTTATCACATTCTCTACAGTACCTATTTATAAACTCTGCAAAATTTTAAAATTTTTTCAAAATTCAATTCCCCAATTCTGCAGCCACTTCCTTCACTCTCAGAAGATGATCTTACCTCTTTCTTTACAAAATCTCCCATCTTCAAAGACCACTTAAACTGCTGGCAAACAAATCTACAAACTTATTAACTTTTCTTCATTCTTTTTCTCCATAGGTGTCCTTCCCCCTTGTCTTAGGCTAACCTTTCTGTCTCTTCTCTGTATTGCATTCCCTCTGACCTCTTCAAAGGGTGGATTAGATGGCTTGATTGTTCCCTCTCCTACAGCTTCCATTTTTCTTGATCTACTGGCTCCTTTCTATCAAAACTCATACATGTTCTAAGATGTTACCTGTTACTCTATATTCCTTCTTTTCTACTTTTCTGCTTTCCCATCTCACCACCTTAAATGAGTTGACGGTAATTATCTTAAATTCCTCACTTCCCATTCACTCTTCCACCTACAACGGTCTGACTTCCAACAATGCTGCCGGCATCTTCCTTATTTCACCAGATGGTGAACACTTCTTCCAACGTTATTCAGCACTGTCGACCACTTTCTCCTACTGGAAATACTCTTTTCCGTGGGCTTTCTAGTTTTCTTTTTTTTTCTCTCTCTCTCTGGCTGTTCCTTCTAAGACTCCTCTAGGCATCTCCTTATACCACTCGTCTATGCTAGTTCCCAGAGCAACAGTGATCTCTACTCTGTGGCTTCAATTACCATTCCAATACTAATAATTAGCAAATGTATATTTCCAACCCAAACTCTTTCTCCTGAGCACTTAGACATAACTTAGGTACCTAAACTGAATTTGTCTTCTTTCTGCAAACGGGTCCTTACCATCTCAGAGGATTGTATTTTCATCTGGCCATTGGTCCAAGTCAGCAACCCATTCATATCCCAGACTGCTCACTCTCCATCATTCCTTGCATTCAGCCACTCACCAAGTTTTCTCAGGCCACTGTCATATTCCTCAGGGATTATTACAACAATTCTCTAACCAGATTGCTTTCCCCCAGTCTGCCACCCTCCAATCTATTGTCCACTGTTCATAAGAGTAACACCCTTTCTTAAACTCTCTAATGACTTTTTTAAAATCCAAACTCCTTAACTGAACAGAAAAAAAAGTCTATTTTATTTACTTTCCTGATCACTTATAACCTCATTGCTTACGACTCTTCACACTTCACTCTGTAATCCAGCCAGCTTGAACTTCATTCAGTTATTCAAAGGTGCTCCCAGGGCCAGGGTCAGTGGCTCACACCTCTAATCCCAGCACTTTGGGAGGCTGAGGCAGGTGGATCACTTGAGGACAGGAGTTCGAAACCACCCTGACCAAAATGGCAAAACCCTGTATCTACTAAAAATACAAAAATTAGCCAGGCATGGTGGTAAACGCCTGTAATCCCAGCTTCTCAGGAGGCTGAGACATGACAATCACTTGAACACAAAAGGAAGATGTTACCGTGAGCCGAGATGACACCACTGCACTCCAGCCTAGGCAAATGCGTAAGACTCTTTCAAAAAAAAAAAAAAGTATTCCTCTTGCCTTCCTGTTTTTTCATTTTCTCTCTCTCACTCCCACCTACATATAGAATGAGGGATGATATACAGATAGAGATATTCACCGGACTTCTAAAGTTCAAATCTCACCTTTGTCATCTTCTATGCTGTGGATATGCTATTTAGCTTTTTTGCCTTTGTTTTCTCATTTGTAAAATGAGATGCCAGTACCTACCTCCTCAGGTTATTATAAGGAAAATAGATCCATGTAAAGCTCTTGGAACAGTGCTTAGTATATAAAGGACTCTTACATGTGATATAGTTTTAACTATCATTTAAATTATCCCTAGCTAACAAGGTAGATTTAGAAATCTCAGGTATCTAGTCCTCATACCAATAGAAGCAGCAAAGACTTAGATAAGGTAGCATTCATTAAAATTGCCTTTAGAATTTGTTTTTGTTTTTCACTTGAAATGCATCTAGGATTTCTCTTCAAAATATATAATGAAGTACATTCAAGACCAAACACAGAAGAAGCCATGAGGCTTCTTCACCTTGATCATAACTCATCCTCTTCTGCAATTCATCACATATGCAGAATAAACACAACAGTCTTTCTGCCATCTCTCAGGCTGAACTAGGCGAAGGGGCACCTTCCCAAGCAACAAATGCCTTCCGTGTTGTATAAAATATATAAGTAGACAAAGAATGTGCACAGCGTCGAAGTTAAGTAGCTTACTCAACAAGGGATTGGGTTTTCCCTGGATAAACCATGAAGCTAGAAACCAAAACGGGGATTATAAAACTGGCCAATTCTGTTTTATGTTTATTTACTAACATTTATGTTAAGCCAAAAGTCACCTTCCACCTCGAAGAGAGCTGAACACCCAGTGGGCCCTAGATCAATTTATTTGAATCATGGAGAACATTCACCACTGCCACATCCACATCTGGGTTTAGCACTTGTGTGGCTGACTCACTGCCTGTTGCTTCCACTTCACTTCCCTCAGATTGGCTCCTCAAAACATCTCTGTTCCTCAGTCTGTAACAGGCTATAATTTCCCTCTACTCTGACAAACATCTTCACATTCAGTGATGGGGAAGACATTTCAGATGTCAATCTAAAGACCAAGCCCCGCTGAGTGAAATAGAATGTCAGGATCACGCTGTTATTAAATTATCCCTCTTCTTCAGAAGTGCAGACTTCCTGCATGTCTACCTTCCAACTAAGTCAGAAACGCCCTGTCTTATTTTTTCTCTGCTCTGTAACTTTCTAAATTTGACCCTTTTAGAAATATACATGCAAGTCTCCACATTATAATTATGAAAGAATTAGGAACACATTCTCTAAGGAATACAGTGAGAAAAAATTCTCTGTATATGCCTATTTTACATTCTCCTTTCTGGCCAAAGGTTAAATGATGAAACATGTTATTCGCCATGCTGAATTTAGAGTTGAAAAAGAAATTAAATGAAATACATGGGGAGAGTAAAATGTAATGGTAAAACAAAAGGCTGTGAAATCTGACAGACCAGATCTAAGCTCTACTACTTTTAATTTGGTGACTTTGAGTAAGTCAGCTGAAGCCCTCTTCAGCCTTAATTTCTACATACATAAAATAGTAAAATATTGCTTACTTTCCAAGGCTGCTGTGAATTTTAAACTGCGCTAATCACCTAAAATGGTGCAGATGTCACAGTAGGTATTCAAAAACTGGTAGCTACAATTATTTTTTAGATCCATTTTACTTCTCATTTATATCACTCAACAACTCTTAACTTATTCTCTAACTTATTCTGTGGTAAATTAGAAGATAGTATGTTTGCTATTTATAATCAAAACTGCTTTCTGGAGAAGGTTAAATTGGGTAAGCAAAAGGCCCTTTTGTCTGAACATTTCAGTAGTTTGGGTGTGCAAATTTAGGAGTAATCAATATTGAAAGCTGAATTAGACATTTTTTGGAGTTTGGGGACAAAGGGAGGTAAAGGAGTGGGAGAGGGGATCTTGAAAGACAAAAGCAAGAAAGAAGCTAACACCAGATGAGACCAGAAATTTCACCGTGTCGAGGCTGTGGAAGAATGTTTTAAGGTAGAAGATGCCGATTGCTATTGCTTCAACATGTTTGCATTACTGCAACAGAAAACCTCTCCTCTATCTTCTTTCCAAATCTTCCGTAAAGTTTCCTAAAGCCATAACTGTTTTGCATGAGTACGTTTTGTGTTGAACAAAACCTACTCATGGGTGAATTTAGGTGTGTATGACAGAAATAGCTTTTGAGAAACAGAAGTCTGGAGCCAGAGGAGATCTGAGATCATAAGCAAAATTAGAAAGTTAGGCAATACCAGTGTTGGCAAGAATGTGAAGTGGAGGCCACTCATCCCCACTGCTGGGATATGAAATGATCAAGCCATTTTGGATACTTTACCTAGTAAAATTTAATACATACATATTCTACAAGGCAGCAATTTTAGATCCAGGTGTATGCCCTGGGGAATCTCTAGTTCATTTGTATGGGATTCAGGCACAAGAACGTTCAAGGCATTTTCATAAGAAAAAATTGCAAACAGCAATAAAAATGACACCTGCAACAGCATGAGTAAATCTCAAAACCATAACTTTTAGGGGAAAAAAGTAACAGAAGGATAGATATGATTCTATTTATAAATGGAAAAAATAAGCAAAATTAAATCACAAATCTCTATTTAGGGACAAAGACATATAAAGAACAAGCATTAGAGAAAAAAAAACCAAGGATATAATTAATACAAAATATAAGATAGTGGTTGCCTGGGGAGTGAGAGGGATGTGATCAGAGAGGGGCGTAGAGGGGCCTTTAAGTCGCTGACAATATTCTATTTCTTAAGGCAGATGGTGGGCAGAGAGGACAGTTTTCTTTAAACTACACGCATATGTTATCCATGCTCTTTTGTATAGATGAAATAGTTCATGATTTTAAAATAAAAGCATTTTAAGTGAGCTGACACTAGCAGTGTCAAGGGACTATCATTACCAGTCAGGGACAGGGCCTTAAGTTTTAATACCTGTACAGGCACAGACAGTAAGATCTTGGGCCCACATAAAACATGAAGGTATAAGGATATGTCAGCTTGAATGACACATGTTAAAGTATCATCGCCCTGTACCCCAAAGAAAAACAGAGTATACTTTTTAAGTTGACATAAAACATTGATAAAAATTGACCACATATTAGACCTTAAGTAAATTCTCAACAAATACCTAAAAGTCAGTATCATATAAATAATGCTGTCTGACAATCCCAGATTAGAAATCAGTAACATCGTAAGTACCTGGAATGTATAGGAGAGGGCATTTCCACTCAGCCTGTAGAAGTCTCTTCCATCCCCGCTAAACACCTTTCTACACTGACCACCAAAACTTTTGGTGTTGATGACTCTGTTCCTAAACTGGCCAGTGAGTGCATTGTAACTGTTAAAAGGAGGTGGAGGAGGAAATAAAAGGCAGTTAAAAACCAGAAATAGCACTTGCTGGGAAAAAAAAGTCGTTAGAGAACTCTAGAAATTCTTAAAATGCATTACAGTTAAACACTTCTTTGAGAGAGCTCAGATAAAGAGCACAGCATCCTAATGCATACCATACATTATCCAGCTTCCCCTGCTTAGTATAATCACTAAAACTAATAGCTGGGGAAAGCCAACAGCCTTTCAAAGAACATATTTGGGAAACACATGGCTCTTTTGTATCTATGGCAACAGCTGGTTTTGAATTGAATCTATAGATAAAACCAATACAATTAAGGTTACTCTTGAGGAGAGAGAGCACTCTATAATAAATTTTAACTAATTGTCTCTGAGCTTGCTGAATGGTATACTTTTTAAGGTAATTTTAACCTATTTCTCTGTTAATTTTAAAATGTTACAGATAAATTACTTCTTTCATTCTAAAACAGGTTATTCTTAAGTCTTAATACCTTAACAAGTCATATGACATTTAAAACTTCTCCAGAATTTTCTTTAATAAGGTAAACACAGTATTTTCCAACCTTCACTTGTAAATGAAGGTTTTTGGCTAGTTTAGGCAATTGCTGTTCAGCCTGGGTATTACAACACATTTGTTTCTCTTTCTCTTCTCATCCTGTTATCATTCTATTGTTTCTTCATTCTCTTGAATAGCCCCCACATTACTGAACCAGTCTTCTCTCTCTCTCTCTCTCTCTCTTTGTCTCTCTCTCCCTCTCTGTCTCTCCCCTCCCTTCCTTCCTCCCTTCAAACACCCATGAAGTGACCAACTGTCCAGGTTTCCTTGAGACTAAGGGGTTTCTCTGGATTCGAATTTCAGTGCTAAACCCAGGACCATCCTACAACAAGCGGTCATTCTACATCTCACCACATGTATCTACAGGTATACATGTATGAACAAAAATGCTGTCTCAGGATGTGGCAAAGAGCTCTGAGCCAATGAAAAGTCTTGCCTATTAGGAGACTTGTTCTTAGACTTACCAAACCATAACATAAAAGTTTAAAATTACAATTCATTGATGTACTCAGGAGGCTGCCCAGCACCTTACCCATTTCCTGTAAGTTCTATGTTAGGAGGAGGCTTATCGATATCACAGGAAGGTCTCCTTTCTGAGTCCTCACATCTGTCTTCATCAGCACTATCTTCTTCACAGTCAGAATCCCCATTGCAAACCAACAATTTGCTGATGCACTGACCTGAACACAAGAAAAACTCACATGGCAATGTAAAAGAGGGAAGAAGAGAAACGCTATCCAGAACCAAAAAACGTTTCCTGCCACCAGCAACACTGCATTGATACTTCAATCTAAATGGGAGATAAATCCCAGAGTGTCTAGGAAAGGACTAGTGATTATTTTGTCTCCATTTTGTGACACAGAAGTGATTCATAACTCAGACACAAAATTAAAAACAGGATCTGAATTCAAATTTTCAGGATCTCACCCATAATCAAGTAGCTTGTCTAAATTATACAATTCCAACTACTGGGAAGATTGATTGACTTCCTGCCCTTCAACTTTCAATTTTTTTCTGTCATTCTAAGATGACCAAGTTGAGCTTTTCTTGGCAATTTGCATTTGTGAGCTTTAAGAGCAGGAGAATTTTATCAAAAGGTTAAAATTCAATATTTCTTTAGCACAATAGGGGCTGGCATACAAATATGAATAAAAATGGCCTTTGCCAGACTTTTCATATACTTTACAATCTAATAGGAAATACTACAAAGACGTAGATCATAATTGTTATAATAGCCATAAATCTAGAGTGCCAAGGAAGCACTGGAGGGTACCAGATGATCTAGTTCCTGCTTATCTCCCCGGCACCATGTCCAGCCATTCTCCTACTAGCTTCACATACTCTAGTCATACTGGACTACCTGCATGAATTAAAGGCCACATTTTCTGTTAACTCCAATGATCTTGTACTTACAGTTAGTTCTCTCTGCCTAGAACAGTTTCTCTACCTATTCTTACTTGTCCTACAAGAATCAAATTAAACGTTATCTCCTCTTGAAAGCCATCCCTACCTCACAGGCTCTGTTGCATGTGCTTCCTCTATGTCCTCATAGGATGCTCAGTGCACAACTGTCCCTGTAGGACACACAAGCTGCTATACTGTCACTCAATCCAATGAAGCAAACATTTGTTGAGAATGTATTATGTACCAGAGACTCCAGAAGCCAACATGAAAGAAATATAATTCATATCTTCAAGGAGTTCACAGTTCACCAAGAGAGACATTCAGGCCAACAAATAATCCAAATTACAGATGGTACAATATGCATAAGGAACACATGGAGGTGATTGGTCAATTACTTCTCTTAGTTAGGGATTTAGGGAAGGCTTCCTGAAGGAGTTGTTACCTGATTTGGATTTCGAAAGTAAAGTAAGCATTTGACAGGCATCATTGAGGAGCCCTTCTAACTCAGGGATTATTTATGTACTATTCTGCCCATAAAACGTTAATATTTGTGAGGGAAGAGGCATGTGTTTCACTTGTATATACCACCCTTACCACTATTTGAAACATAAGAAGAATCATAAGCATTTACTAAATTTTATTACATTAATCTGACTGCACAAATGCAACATAGAGAACTGGTGAAATAATATTCAATGCCAAAACTATGTTTCAGTCACCCCATGTGTAAGAGAGAACTGTATTGCTCCTTAATCAGCTCATTAGTGTTGCTTTCTTGTAAACATAATAATTTAGGCAGTAACATTGTTTTTGTCTAATCTCGTATATGTACAAGACTCATTCTGCATCTTCACCCAAAATACAACCTGCTTAAATTATTATGGGTGCCTATTTGGGTCTACCTAAATTATTTTGGGTGCCTAAGTTACTGCCCAAATTATTTTGAGTATCTATTTGGGTCTGTCAGTAGCCAGAGTTCCATTCGAAGAGACTAAAAGTATTGCCATGTTTATTACCAGATACCTTCCCTTGCATTTGAAAGAATGATAGCTGAATGTGTGATTAACTTACCAACAAAAATCCTGATGATATTTGGGGCAAATTAATTTTAGGCCAATATAAATTCAGTAAAACTTAACAAATGTATAATGAGCAAGTTCATCAAATAACATTTGAATTTACAATCTTCACGCTGAGCCTATGGAAAACAAATTACCTGAAAAACACCTGAAACGCTCTCCACATCCCTCCTCTGTTGGACATCCTCTTGTAGGTTTACAGGACTGTGTTTCAAAAGCATTTCCAGTACAAGGTTGGCCCCCATACTGCCCATACACAGCAACTGACCGCCTGCGAGTCTAAACACAAAGCAGGCAGTGGTTTGGTTTGGTTTTGTTTTGTTTTGTTTTGTTTTGTTTTGTTTTTTTCAAAAGAAATCTCCAGTTTCCTTTATCTGAGTAATAAAATCTGAGCGAACGTAATACAATTAGACAAACAATGTCCAGAAAATTGTTCTGGTGTTATACAGAAATAAAACCTAAAAATCAATGAATCCACAGACCTGCTTGTCCTTGAGTTCAGCGACATTTCAGCTATTATTTATAGAGCGCTCCCAGGTACATACTGACTTTCAGGATTAAATGCAAAAAAAAAAAAAATTGCTTTTAGTGATTGTAAGAAAGAAACCTGATGGCAGTGGGCGGAGACAACCCCACTGCGCTCTAGCCTGGCTGACAGAGTAAGACAATGTCTCAAAAAAAAAAAAGAAAAGAAAAAAGAAAGTAACCTGAGTCAAGCTTAGAGGGTAGACACATAAGCAAATAGATTATAGCATAGAATGATCAATATATTTGCCAAAGCTGTGTTCCAAGAGCTCATTAGAGAAAGTGAAATGACTTTTTCTGGAGTGTGGATAGGGTACTGGGAAGGGGGTTAAGATGAAGCAGAGTTAGAGTTAGGGAAGCCTTCAGAAAAGTGATGGCAATTCCTTCGAGCTAAACTGTAAGCATTCTTCAGGAAGGAAGGCAAGGAAAAACAATTCAGAGAGAAATATATGAATATGGAGATCAAATTTACAAAACAGAAGCCTAAATAATCCAAGGGTGAAGCTACATCTACAAAGGAATATGTAAAATACAAGCCTCTTGAGGGGAAAGAATATAGGAAAAACTAAATGAGAAGTTTACAACTAATTCGTCCTAAAGTTTATTAAATCCTCATTCACTACAAAGACATGTATCTTAACATTTAAACAAAAAGAAAGATCTACCACTGGCAATCGGTGAGCATCTTCCAGGCCTCTTCCTGTACTCACCTCTTCTCCATTAAAAAACAAAACATAAAACAGAACCAAAACTGAGCGTCCTGAGGATTTAAACATTGAGTGAAGACCAACAGGGAAGAGTTGCTGTACATATCAATGTTGAACTTATGCATCCATCCTAAATTGGGTTAGAAGTGGGAATTCTTCAGCATGAGGGGTCACAGTGGCATAATTTGAACTCTGAGCAGATTCGCACCAGCCAGAGCCTGGCTCTGGCGCCTTTCATCGTGTTTAAGCAAAGGAGCCACAGAGGAATACGAGCGTGGAATGGAACTCGGTAAGGTTTCTTGATACTGTTTTTCGTGTCTTTGTAAGGGATGCAGATGCTGCTCATGTGTGGCTTATCAGTGTCCTTTGGTGACGTTCCAGAGCACAGGTGGAACTGTTTGCATAAGGAGTATTTTTCGTCTCTTTGTAAGTGATGAAGACACCGCTCATGTGTGGCTTTTCAGTGGTGTTCTTTTGTGAAGTTCCAGAGCACAGATGGCGTTGTTTGCATAGGGAGTGTTTTTCTTCTCCGTATTACCAGGGAGCCCTTGATGGCAGCCACTCTCCAAGGTCTCATTCTCACCTGTCAAAGCCTGACTTTACGATTCCTTTTCATTTTCACTTGTCCCTTTCTGAATGAAAATTTTGTTTTTATAAGCTAGGATGTATCCATTGCATGATGACCTTCACTTAAAGAAAAAAATTGCTTGTATAAAAAACACCCTTTCTCTACTTCTATTTAGTGTTCTTTCTTCTTTTCAAACGATAAAAATATTTAACATGCTTGATGTTTCTTTGACCTTTGCCTATTATTCATGTACCTATTTGCCTGTAATCAGAGCTGTTATTTATTATACTTGCTAGAAGCCAAATTCTTTGTTCATGTAATTTGTTTTGAAAATACCACTCATGTAGGTACTAAATAAATGGCTGATGAAAATGATGATAGTGATGGTGCTTCCAAATAAAAATTATCTTCTATAGTACGATTCTGTTATTTTAATAGTTAAAAGTGATTTTTAAATATATATTTTTATCCAAACTGGACTATTTCTAAAATATTTAACTCTTAAAATGTTCAGAAACCTTAAGACAAACATTTTATTTCTAGGACTATCCTCAGAAAATTATGGGAAAAGAGGACAGATCTCTACATTCAAAAATGTTTATTAAAGTTTTCTTTATAACAAAAATGGAGACAACTTAAATGTCAAACAATAAAAAAGTAGAAAATAAGGGTATATTAATATCATGGAACATAATACTGCTGTTGTAAGTTATTTTGCTGATAACAAATGTTAGATTAAAATAGTAGAGTACAAAACTATGATAAAATAATCTCCTTTTAAATTATAAGTACACATGGAGAAAAGGCAGACAGAGCCGAAAGAATACATACCAAACGCTGTTATACAATTTCTTTCTTTTAAATGGTAGAATTATGAGTAATGTTTATTTCTTTACAACTTCCTGTATTTTCTCCAATGAACATTTTATAATAAGGAATTAAAACAGACATTTTAAGAAGCATTTTATAATATCTAGATTAAGTTCAACATTGTATTTGTATTACTTAGCAATTAAACTTTAAAACATTTTGCAAAATTTTTTTCATGGTCGTTCACTATTTGTGAAGAAAAATCAAGCAGCCATCTTGCTATTTGCTAGTGTTAGTTTGAGATGAGAAGAAAAGTTGAACTCAATGAATATAAAGCATTTTAAATTAGCAAAAAAAAATTCATTCTATGTTATTCCTATTTTTCGCATAGTTAAAAAGTTAGTAAATTGCCTTGAACTTTCAGCCTATACACATTTCTAGCTCCAAGATAAGATCTAGAAAAGTCCTTCAAGAAAAATGAATATACAAATTACTTTATTACAATATTATTAAACAAGTCATACTTTTCTCCCTTCAAAATTGCTAATACAGTTTTCAAAAAACATTGATACTGTTTAATGAACATTCAGAAGTTAATGCCATTTGGCCATGCCTAAGTATTTCTAAACATAAATAATCAAATACAAAGTTTTGCATGGTCCTACCTGAGTCTTGGTACAGCCATTGCATTCTGACCAAGGGGCATACGAGTCCCACTGGCAGTTCACTGGAGAGGAGGCACTGCCACAGTGTCAAGTTGTCCATCATAAAGCAGGCAGAAAGATACGCAATGAAACACAAAGAATAGTGAAAACAATCAAAAATAGTTAAATGTTACCTCAAATATTTTTTTCTAAGAGACACTAAAAATATCCTAAAATATATAAAAACGGAGGGAGCCCCACTTTCTTAGAGATTAACACTTATTAAACATCTATTATGCTGGGCACAGTGGCTCACGCCTGTAATCCTAGCACTTTTGGGAGGCTGAGATGGGCAGATCACCTGAGGTTAAGAGTTCAAGACCAGCCTGGCCTACATGGTGAAACTCCATCTTTACTAAAAATATAAAAATTAGCCAGGCATGGTGGCGAATGCCTGTAATCTTAGCTACCTGAAAGATTGAGGCAGGAGAATTGCTGGAACCCGAAAGGTGGAGGCTGCAGTGTGCCAAGATTGTGCCACTGCACTCCAGCCTGGGCAACAAAGGGTTCTGTCTCAAAGAAAAGAAAAATCTATTATGTACTAGGCTCTAAAGACACTAGAGTTGTAAAGAGGTAAGTCATTGGCCAGGCGTGGTGGCTCACACCTCTAATCCCAGCACTTTGGGAGGCAGAGACATGCGGATCACTTGAAGTCAGGAGTTTGAGACCAGCCTGGTCATCATGGTGAAACCCCATCTCTACTAAAAATACAAAAATTAGCCAGATGTAGGGGTACACGCTTGTAATCCCAGCTACTTGGGAGGCTGAGACAGGAGTATTGCTTGAACCTGGGAGGCGGAGTTTGCATTGCACCAAGATTGTACCACTACACTCTAGCCTGGTCAAGAAAGCAGGACTCCATCTCAAAAAAAAAGAGAGAGAGAGAGAGGTCATTGACTATAGACAGAAGGAAGAACAGAGACACAGATGGGTAAACAAATCATCATAATACAATACATCTCATTTGATGGATTTCATAATAGAAATGCATTCAATATAATGTGTTATGGGGATATGGATAAGAGAGAGTTCTGAGTTGGGAGGGTGGGGAAAACATATAGGAAGAAGGTTTTATGGTCTTTAAAGGGATTCTGAATGATAAGTTGGAGAGTTATCTAGAAACACTTAACTGAGAGACCAGAAACTATAATAAGACCCAATGAGAAGTGGGAAACTAAAAATCGGCAGAGGCTGAATGGACGAGAATTTATTTAAATGCACCCCGTTCATTTTGGCCATTTTTCAAGCTCCCAACCACGGAGGGCAATTTGAGCTTAAACAGTTGCACTAAAATAAAGTGGATGTGAAAATGGAGAGTTGACTCATACAATGCTCACATCCTGGCCATGTTGTATGGAAAAGACTACCTGCGTCAGCTTTAAGAGATTAAGGAAGTCTTGCCTAAAATGATGCTCTATGAAGGATAAAAGAACTGGTATTCCTTATTTCTGGATTCCCAGCACATTCCTAGGCTGGGAGGTATCTTGAGTCAAGACGGTTCTTGTGTATCTTAAGAGGGTCACGTTTCTCTGAAAGTAGTGACTCTCATTCTGCAGCGTGTGCCTCAGCTGCTTTTACAAAGCCAATCTTGCCAACCTGTGGTTTTCATATGGTACCAGTGATCAAAATACCTGGATATTTTTGACGCTTGAACAATCTGAACTTGCTGTTATTTTTCTAGTCTCTGTCCTGGGGAAAGGCAGAGGGCTTCCCAAAACATGGAGGCTTAGAAGAGGAACTTTGCTTGATCTTCCCGCCGTGCCCCCACATCACCCTTAGCAGGCTTCTTTCAGAGTCCTTGGCACATTTGTATTGCAATGAACTGACCCAAGATACAAATCACCCAGCATGCTCCCTGTGCCTTCTTGCTGCTTGTGGTAAACCCAGTACCTAGCACAGCCCCTGACACATTTTCTGATAGTTCCATAAAGTGAACTGATCTGGCTCTGTCTTGTCAATCTGACACAGTGAGAGCATAACAAAGCCTTGGATAAATGATGCTGGCTTTTTTCCAGGCCTGAAGAACCGATAAAACTATTTTCTTAAAAAAACTCTCAACCTTTAAAATCCAGAGGATGTTTCTCAAAGATTACATTTAAAGACCAAATACTGCTCTAAGATATATAAGTCCACTGTGATTATCTGCACTACAGATAAAACCACAGCACTTGGACAAAAAACTTACACTTTTAGTCTTCAATTTTACAGGGGGAAAAAAGTAAAAGAAGAATAAAAAGAAAACATTTTTGTTATCATTGTCTTTTCAAAAAATATGAAAAGAGAAAATATGTTGGAGGGATACACAGATTCAAACTGCAATGACAAAATTAGACTAAACTAAAAAATTTTTCAAACTTTTTTTTAATTTAATGATTTTTATACACAACAGAAAAAGTCCCCACCTTGAAAAAATTTGGAACTCTCCTGTAAATCCCACCAAAATGAATAAGCTTATTGCCTGGAGAAGAAAAACAATAAAGCATTATTTTACCTTGCATTTCTTTTTATAACTATAAATTGACAATTTATAATTGTATAAATTTATGGGGTACAAAGTGATATTATGATTTCTAAATACAATGTGAAATAATTTAATCAAGCCGGTTAACATACCTATCACCTAAAAAATTTAACATTTTTGTGGCAAAGATATTTGAAATTTACTCTTGGCAATTTTGAAATGTACAATACCCCATTATTAACTATCTTCATCACACTGTACAATAGAACTCAAAATATATTTCTGCTAACTGAGATTGTGTACCCTTTGATGTTTATCTCCCTATTACCCCAGTCTCTGCAACCACCATTCTACTCTGCCTCTATGAGTTCAATTGTTTTACATCTTACATTTAATGAGAACATGTACTATTTGTCTTTCTGTGCCTGGCTTATAAACTTAATGTTTTCCAATTCCATCTATGTCGTCATAAATAACAGAATTTCCTCCTTTTTAAGGCTAAATACTATTCCTTTGCATACACACACCACATTTTCTTTCTCCAATCATCTGATAATGGACAATTAGGTTGATCTTATAACTTGACTATTGTGTATAGTGCTGTAATGAACATTTGCTTTTGTAAATACCAAAAAGTAGGATTGCTAGATCATATGATAATTTTTTTCTGTTTTCTGAGAAACTTCCATGCAGTTTTCCATAATAGCTGTACTAATTTACATTCCTACCAGTGTACAAAAGTACAGGGATTCCCATTTTTCCACGTTCATACCAACACTTGTTACCTTTTGTCTTTTTGATAATAGCCATTCTGACAGGTGGCTCACTGTAACTCAATATAACTTTAATTTACATTTCTCTAATAATTAGCAATGTTAAGCACATTTTTTACATATCTGTTGGCCGTTTATATGTCTTCTCTTCAGAAATGTTTACTCAAGTTTCTTGCCCGTTTTTTATTTTTACTTTACTTCCATCTCCCTTTCCTGGTACTTTGTCAATTTTTATTTGGGTTTTTTGTTTTCTTGCTATTGAGTTGTTTGAGCTTCATATATATTTTCGATATTAGCCCCTTATTGGATGTATGGCTTACAAATATTTTCTCCCAATCTGTAGGTTGTCTCTGCAAACATAATTGTCTCCTTTGGCATGTAGAAGCTTTTTAGTTTGTTATAATCGCAATTTGTCTATTTTTGCATTTGTAGCCTGCACTTTTGGTGTCAGATCCAAAAAATCCCTGTCTAGAACAATACAATTTTTCCATTGTATTTTTTTCAAGTAATGTTACAGTTTCTGGTCTTATGCTTAAGTCTTTATCCCATTTTGGGTATATTTTTATATATGATATGAGATAAGGGTCCAATTTAATTCTTTTGCATGTAGCTATCCAGTTTTCCCAATACCACTTATTAAAGAGACTATCCTTTACCCATTGTGTATTCTTGGCAACTTTGTGAAAACAATCAATTGACCATATATGTAGGTGCATTCTTGGGCTCTCTATTCTGTTCCACTGGTTAATGGGTCTATTGTTTTGCCAGGATCATGATGTTTTAATTACTATAGCTTTGTAGTATAGTTTAAAATTAAGCAGAGTAATACTACCAGCTTCGTTCTTTTTGCCCATGACAGCTTTAGCTATTTGGAGTTTTATGTGATTCCATATGAACTTTAAGATATTTTTCTATTTCTTTGAAAAATTATAGTAGAATTTTGATAAATATTGCACTAAAACTCTAGATCAGTTTGGGTAGTATGGACATTTTAGCAATATTTTCTTCAAATCCATGAACAAGGGATATCTTTCCATTTGTTTATGTCTTCTTCAATTTCTTTCATCAATGTTTCATAATTTGCAATGTATAAGACTTTAACTTCCTTGGCTACATTTATTCCTAAATTTTTTTTGTAGTTATTGAAAATGGGATTGTTTTCTTAATTTCTTTCTCACATAGTTTGTTGTTAGTGTATATGAATGTACTTTTTAGTGTTTATTTTATATTCTACAATTTTACCGTATTCATTTATTAGTTCTAGTCTGTAGGGTTTTCTACATATAAGATTGTGTTACCAGCAAACATAGACATTTTCACTTTCTCCTTTTCTATTTTGATGCCTTTTATTTCTTCTTCTTGCCTAATTGCTCTGGCAAGAATTTCCAATACTATGTTAAATAAAAGTGGCAAAAGTGGGCATCTCTGTCTTGTTCCAGAGCTTAAATGAAAGGCTTTCAATTTGTCACTGTTGGGTATAATGTTAGCTGTGGGCTTCTCATATATGGCCTTTATTATGTCAAGGTACATTTCTTCTGTACCTAGCTTGGTGAGAGTCTTTTTCATGAAATGTTGTTGAATTTTGTCAAGTGCCTTTTCTGCATCTAATTAGATGATTATATAGCTTTTGTCATTCATTCTGTTAATGTCATATAACATATTTATTAATTTGTGTATGTTGAATCATCCTTGCATTTCAGGAATAAATCCCATTTAATCATGGTAGATGATCCTTTTAATGTATTGTTCAGTTTGCTACTATTTTGTTGAGATTTTCATATCTATGTTCACTATGTTCATCAAGAATATTGGCATGTAGTTTTCTTTTTTTGTAATGTGCTTCTTTGGCTTTGGTATCAGGATAACACTGGGCTTTTAAAAAGAATTCAAAAGTATTCCCTCATTATCAGTTTTTTGGAAGGGCTTCAGAAGGATTAGTATTAGCTCTATTTTCAATGTTTGGGCTATCTCTTGCACCCACCCTTGCCATGTGACATGCCTGCTTCCACTTCATCTTCCGCTATGAGTAAAACCTTCCTGCAGGCTTCACCAGAAACTGAGCAAATGTTGGTGCCATGCATGTACAGCCTGTAGAACCATGACCTGATTAAACTTCTTTTCTTTATAAATTACCCAGCCTCACATATTTCTCTATAGCAACACAAATAACAGGCTAACACAGAAAATTGGTGCTGAGAATTGGGGCATTGCTATAAAGATACTCAACAGTGTGAAAGCAGCTTTGGAACTGGATAATGAACAGAGGTTTGAAGAGTTTGGAGGGCTCAGAAGAAAACAGAAAAATGAAAGAAAGCTTGAAACTTCTTAAAAAGTGGTTAAATGACTGTGACCACAATGCTGACAGTGATAGGCACAGTAAAGTCCAAGCTAGTGAAGTCTCAGATGGAAATGAGAAACTTTTTGGGAATTAGAGAAAAAGTCACCTGGTTATAGCTTAGCAAAGAACTGAAGGCATTCTGTTTATGCCCTAAGGATCTGTATAAGTTTGAACTTAAGAATGATAACTTGGGGTATCTAGTAGAACAAATTTCTAAGCAGCAAATTTCACGAAGTGGTCTAGCTGCTTCTAACAGCTTACTCTCAGGTATAGGAGCAAATAAATGACTTAAAATTGGAATGTATATGTAAAAGGGAAGCAGAGTATAAAAGTTTGAAAAATCTGCAGCCTGGCCATGTGGTAGAGAAAGAAAAAGCATCATCAGCAAATGAATTCAAGGGGGCTGTGGAACAACCACTTGCTAGAGATACTTGCATGACTGAAAGGGAGCCAAGTGCTAATAGCCAAGACAATGGAGAAAAGGCCTCGAAGGCACTTTAGAGATCTTTGAGGCAGCTCCTCCCATCACAGGTCAGGAGGTTTGGGAGGAAAGAATGGTTTTCACGGGCCAGGCCCAGGGTTCTGCTGTCCTGCGCAGCCTCAGGACACTGCTTTCTGCATGCAGGCCACTCTCCAGCTCCAGCCTTGGCTCAATGAGCACCAGATACAGCTTGAGCTGCTGCTTCAGTGAGTACAAGCTGTAAGCCTTGGCAGCTTCCATGTGATGTTAAGCTCATAGGCACACATAGTGCAAAACTGAAGGAGGCTTAGCAGCCCCCACCTAGATTTCAGAGGATGTATGAGAAAGCCTGGGTCCCCAGGCACAAGCCTGCTATAGTGGTGGAGCCCTCACAGAGAACCTCTACAAGGGCAGTGAAGAGGGGAAATGTGGGGTTGGAACCCCCACACAGAGTTCCCACTGGAGCACTGCCTAGTGAATTAGCAGAAAAAGGCCACTGTCCTCCAGAACCCAGAATGGCAGATCCAACAGTAGCTTGCATATTGAGCTTGGAAAAGCTTCAGGCATTCAACTCTGACCCATGAGAGCAGCTATGGTGGCTGAACCCTGCAAAGCCACAGAGGTAAATCTGCCCAAGAGATGGAGTGAAGCCCACCCCTTGCAGCAGTGTGTCCTGGATGTGGAACATAGAATCAAAGGAGGTTATTTTGGAGCTTTAAGATTAATTGACTGCCCTGCTGTGTTTCAGACCTGCACTGGGCCTGTAGCCTCGTTCTACAGGCTGATTTCTCTTCTTTGGGAAAGGAGTGTTTACCCAATGCCTGTACCCCCATTATATCTTGGAAATAAGTAGCTTGTTTTGATTTTACAGACTCATAGATAGAAGAAACATCTCCAGATTGGACTTTGTCCTTGAGAGTTGGGACTTTTGAATTAATGCCAAAATGAGTTAAGACCTTGGGGGACTATTAGGAATATATGATTTGTAGTGTGAGAAGGACATGAGATTCATGGGGCCAGAGGTGGAATGATATAGTTTAGATGTCATTTCAAATCTCATGTTGAAATGTAATCCCCAATGTTGGAGGTGGGGCCTGTTTGGAGGGATGGATTTCTTATAAATGGTTTAGCACCATCCACTCGGTGTCATCCTTGCAATAGTGAGTCTCATTAGGATCTGATTGTTTAAAAGTGTGTGACATTTTCCCCCTCACTCATTCTTATTTTTATTCATTTTTTTTTTTTTTGACAGAGTCTGTCTCTGTCCTGCAGGCTAGAGTGCAATGGCACAATCTCAGCTCACTACAACCTTGGCCTCCTGGGTTCAAGTGATTCTCCTGCCTCAGCCTCCTGAGTAGCTGGGATTACAGGCACCCACCACCATGCCTGGCTAATTTTTGTATTTTTAGTAGAGATGAGGTTTCAC